CGCGACGCATGTCGTGTGAGCTTGCCGTAGAAAGTGCCTTGGAATGAACGCTGGCACAGCGGCGGCTACACTAAGTGCAAATGTGAGTTAAACAAGCTATTGTGAGATAAAGAAAGAGATAGAGAATAAAATGAGGGAAGGGCAGGGATAGAGAAAGAGATAGAGAATAAAACGAGGGAAGGGCAGGGAGGTAAACCGAATATTGGGGCAACCGGTTTGCTACTCTGCACTAAGGGAAATGGAAAAAAAAGATGAGAGAGAAAGCGAAGAGCACCGGGCCAGTGGAATCGTATGTTAAAACTGTTCAAGGTTGTGAAAGCTACTTTAAATGTATGTAATAAAAAATAAATTACCATGTTTGGTTGAGACCTGTTACACGGAGTCCCATCAAACGCAAATCGAATGGCGTATTCAGGATCACCATTCGCTTTCACAGAGAGCTTGCAGCGGAATTTGCATTGCCTGAGATCCGAATCCCACTGTAAGGTGCAGAATATTTTTCATTGAAGTTTACTGCAACAAAATATTTTCATAGCTGTGATACTGGCAACGCCGTCATCGTTGTTGCCCACCTCGTATTTATTTAAGCGCTGTGTATTCAAATGGTTCAGGACTTCCTTTCCTAAAGTAGCAGCACCGACATATTTTCAGGTGGAAGCCAGGATGGATTAGGTTTCAAAGTAAAGAGAAAAAAAAGCAGTGTGTGCAGTTGCACACGTTTGTAAACGCTGTAAGAAGCACGGAGCAGTGCTTCGCCTGCACTTCGGGGACGCTGGTCTTCCACGGGCAAAAAAGCACTGTCATTACAAGCTTGCAGTCTGCTCAGCATTCACGGTGGCAAGGAAAATATTCGTTTGGAATGCAGTGGCGCCCTCTTCATTCCTTTCAATTATTCCTGTCTCTCATCTTCACATCGTTGCTTCACAGCTTCACTTCCTTTTCCCACCACCTTGCCACCATAAATACTGTGTTATGCATAATTTCGCCTGCGTGATGCCCAGCGACACGAGCCTGCGACAAAGCATTCGACAACTAGGGTACCTGCAATGCCTATCACAGGAAACAACAGATCATAGTTAGTTCTTTTAGCGAATGCTAAGGAGAGCATATGCAGATGCTTATACTTTAGTAGGGCGCTCATTAATTGACTGAGGCTTTTAGTCGACTGTGCTTATCTTTTAATTCACCTTCATTAGCTTTGGTTCATTTTACCCGACCTTGATTCACATTTAATCGACCTCAGAAACTGCGTATCACATTTAGCTACTCGACCTGTCCGTGCTATATGAACATCCCCCTTTTCGTCAAAGATTTGTGCACCTCAAACAGTGTTTCACTACCTTCGAGGCTGTGAACTTTCGCCAACATTCGTCTTCACAAAACAGGACACCTTTCAAGTAAACGCGACGTATCAGTATTGCAGCCTCAAATGCTCCAGGAAAGTGGTCTGTATGCTGCTGCATGCGTTTATATTCATGTATGAGCCGCCGCATGGCTTGTTCATTTAAAATCAAGCCCTGAATGAGCTAAGTTAAGCCGGAACTTAGTAAAATTAAGCTGGGGATCAGCAAAGTTAAGCCGGGAATCAGGAAGAGGGTGAAGTGGCACGAAGATGACACAGCGTGGGGCTGGGTGGCATATCGACAGGGGGGTGGGGTTGTAGGGAAAGAATAAAAATGGGCTAATTGAGAAGAATGTAAGAACTGGATTAGAAATCAGGTTTATTTTCAGGGTACATGTCACACGGTCATCAAGAAGCATTGATTACGAGCGAAAATCTCATTTTTGGTTTAAACTGAGATAGGGCCCTTTCAATAGCGATAATAGAATGGGCTAGTGGTGTTGCCACCGGGTCGGGTGCCGAATGATACTCCCCCGAGGGTTAGAAGTTGATGATTCCTGATAAAAAATTCAAACAAACCCAGATGGAATGACATAAAGTTAAGCTCGTTGGTAAGTATCTATTTATTTGTTATTTATTTATTTATTCAAAAAAGGGTTTAAAAATTAAAAAGGGTTTAAAAACGCGGCCATAAGAGCACTGTTCTCATCAATTGTACGAGCGTTCACCCAGTTTACCTTCTTTCACGATGAAACGGATGTAGGTATGGTGATAAGCACACGACATATTCTGACTGCAAGGCGCAGCTTTGCTTACCTTGACGTAGCTGACGTTTGGCCGTGGAAAGTAGAGCTTGCAGTACTTCTTCGCCACTCATTACTTCACCGGGTAGCTTCACGGTGTCGTTGGGTAAAGAAGCGACATGGCGGCAGTTTGTTCTGGTCCTTCAAGCAATAGGAAAAGCCAGACCTGTAAGAAACACAGAGGTAAGATCCTTATTCGGCGTGGCATCTTTTGATTACAGCTCATTCGAAGATCCATCACGTGTTTTTTTTTAGGGAGAAGCTCCTTATAGCGGCACCTGTTCGTCCCTCGTAGTCGTAGTAGTAGTCGTAGTGTGTAACCAGTCTTACATTTTGACCTCCAAGGTGGTGCCGGTGAGAGATTTCTTCTGTGCGTTGTTGAACAATAAAAAATTCGCAGCGTGCGCGTTAACTAAAAGCCGAATTCTCCTGCCTCGCATTCCACCTTATCAGCCAATGTCATGTACATTGAGCACTATCTGACAAGAAAGGGTTGCTACGTCATACTCGCTGGGCATAACCTCTTTGGTTTTAGAAAGGTTTAGCAAGCGTTGGGCCACAGTGCCATGAATACAGTGAACTAGTATATACCATGAACTCGAGGCGGTGAGAGGCGGGAAGTGGACGCGAAGTGCAAGCCGCAAGAAAGTGTGCGTGTGCCACCTCTCGTTTAGTCCTTGGAATGTCCGCTGGATGATGGTGCTTCTATATGGGGAATATATGATGAAAAGATGCAAGATGGTGGTACTTCGAGTGTTGAATAGATGGAAGAACGGACAAATAGACAGATGCATGGACGGACGCATAGATGGCTGCACGTACGGATGGAAGCAGGGACGAACACAGGGATGGACACATGGACGGACACAGAGACGGACGCAGGGACGGATGCATGGACGAACGCAGGGACGGACGCACAGATGGACGTGCGGACGCACGCACGGATGGTCACACAGACGGACGCGTGGACGGACGAAAACAAGAACGAATGGATGTACCGATGTTTCGCCCCACTCTCCATCATTCACTCCATGAATATGCTGCCATTTTTTAAAATAAGCTTGTCACGCTTTTATATAAATAAGCTTTTAAATCATAATAATAATAAGCTTTTAAATCAGAAATGCGCAGAGGAATTATTTTTTTATGCACCTTGGCCATCTTGCAACCAAATCCTGCCAGTCGCGTTACTCGCTGTACGGAGACTTGGCACGTACCTTGTCCTCGCACAAACTATGGATTTGAAACACTACGTTACCGCCTTCCAAGTGTGATGAACAAATGGAAACTAACAAATGATAATCTGCGTATATTGTCTAGAACTGAAATGTTAAATCAGATGTGCTGATTGTGTTGTAAATGAATGTTGGGTGATTTCTGTAATGGTTATTCAGTTTTTATTCTTTCATGCATTGCTTTGTTATGAATATTTTGTATGTATTTTAGAGTTGTGATTCTATTATTTGCTGTCACGGGCCACATGCGTGTTTATTTTTGTATTGTCGCTTTCCGCTGCCTGTAACGTTTGTAATTTTTTGTAATTTTGTAGTTTAGATTTTTTTCTGGGTGAAGGGGCCAGTCAAGCTGTGAAATGCAGCTTTTTCCCCTTCGCACCAAACCACGTATACATTGTATTTTCGTGTACTTGTCACACGTACACGACTTGTCACACGTACTTGTAACACGTGTTGTGGTTGAATAAACTCAAACTCAAACTGCTTCTTTTGTGCCACCAGTCCATGAATAGTCGCCGTCCTCATCATTAGCTGATCCTGCATCCACTGCAGGATGAGGGTCATTCGCAATAATCTCAAAAATACCTTACCTAGCGCGAAAATATTTTCTTTTACATCTACGTTTTTGTCTGAAGATTTATTAGGCCTCCAAAATTTGTGTGTTGTACGTGGCTACTGGCTATACGCTTTCATTTTTTAGGCTCCAGTGCGCTTATTTGACTGACCGCCTGCTATTTGTTTCATCCGTTTTATGTTCAAAGTATTTTAGACAATGAATGAATTATCTGCAATCATCAACGAGAAAACATTGCAAAGTCATAGTGTGCTTTATTCAATACCTTCCATTTCCACATTATCTACCTTCTATTATCCAAATCTTGCGTTCTATCTCGCAATAATTTTGTCCATAAAGTGGGAATAAGGCAGTGCTATATCGGACGCATTCATGAATAATTTATCTCCATGACCTCTCAAGATTGGAACTACCTTCCCGGCACGAATTTTGCTATCAAATCCACTCAAATTTTCACTTGGTCATTTGTGACATCATTACTGCCAGACTTCATCGACCAATCAGTTATTTATTTTTCGTGCTATCTAGCCACATTTACTATTTTGATTTGTTTTACTTTTGAATGTTAAGCCCTCTTCTCTGTAATGCATTCGGTCTTGAGGGTACATTAAAGCCGCAGCTGTTCTATGCAGTCAAATTTTGCTTTCTTTTTACGAACGATTTCTATGAAAAATAAATAAACAATCATTTGTTGGTACTGCACAATACATATATTTCATCCATTAACTATATTTATTATATTGGTTTTCTTTTTGTCCGCTAAATGTCAGCTGAGGCTTAGAATGGCATTCTGAATGTTTTTACTTTTCTCTGTATATCGTGTGTTGTGTGTCACCAACGTGCAGATAGTTGTTAGTCGTTTAATGAACCTCGAGAATTTCTTCAGAACACTAAATTTATCATACCGATCGATCAGGCTCAGACGTCATCTTGTAGGCTCTCATCGGTAATTTCGCAGCAATGAACCAGGAAAACTTAGGTGTACCCCTTAAAACACGTAATAGACCTATAAAAACCTGTGTAGAAACAGTACGTTATGAACACAATTGGAGTCTGAAAAATACTTTATTGACGTGTCGGTCTGTTACAAAAACGAGGGAGTATATAAGTGGCAGAAAACTGAGATATCGTTATTCTTATGGTTGACACAATTAGGTACCCCAGCCTTCGGCACCCAATAGATATTGATTGTCACGTGCGTTCATTAGTATTTCACTCTTTCGGCCAATTAGGCACAAAAAATTATCTGTGTTGAGCACAGTGGACATCCGACTACATTTAAACACACATGGTGTTCTTGCATTTCTGAAAAAAGATGACGTAGATAAAGCAAAATTAGTTTCATTGCCACAAACAACTTTTTCTGATGAAAGTGTTTTGTTTAGATGCGTAAGTAAACATTCGTAAAAAATGAATCGCGTGAAGTTTTAATAAAACTTCAAAAATTCAATAACCTTTCAAAGGCTGTCATATTTTCTACGACAGCAGCCCTCGGCTGCGAGCCTGCGTAGAAAATTTGACAATCTATCATAGCCACTATATTTGGATACTGCACTTCAATGTGTGTCAAACATTGAATATGCTGACCATTTCCTGAAATGTTTAAAAATAGTTGTATTTGAGAGAAAATACGTGCTGAATGTGACAAGTTGTACTTAATTGAGGGTAGCATTGTTGGAAATAGACACAGTTTTATCGAATAGAAACAAACACTGAAAAACTGTTGGTAAATCGTGAAGCTAAACAGAAGGTTATCTTTTAGTAAAGTAGCAATAAGCACAGTTATAAGACTACACCGCAAACTTTACGGATGACTAATGAAGTGATTTAAATTGTCCCCATATATACAATTTCACGAAATTAAAGTATTGTGAGTAGTACTATGGCCACCTACGTAGACGAGCATTCGTTTCACGCAAGTGGAAGGTTTACGATTTCTGAAAGAGATGCGGCTTGTAAGAATATGATACTTGTTTTTGATGCAAACTGACGTGCTTCTAAGATTTGTTGCTTCTTTTTGAGCATACTTTGATTTACGCTTTATGAAGCGCTGTTTAAAACGCCTTTCAACCAAAGGCTAAAAAAATGGCAACCTATGTAATTTTCACGAACTAAGACTCCGAATTCCTACTTCAATTTGAGAACCAGTGCATTAAAATTTTTTTATAGAACATTTCCTTTGATAGAGCGTGATGGCTGTCTAGCGAGACCATTTGCGAAAGGTAGCTCCTAGCTCGAGCTTTTTATCAAACATTTACACTTGAGCAAACAAGAATGGCATGTTGAAATGGCAGCTGCTTAACTGTGGAAACTCACTAGAAACATTGAGGGCGTACAGCTCAAGTATTATCACAGAGAAGTAACAACGGCAAACACAACCAAAGTTCGCCACTTTTAAACGTGAGGCAGCTCTTTGAATCAAGTGTGTAATGCCGTACGTACGTACATCCGTACAGACGCGCCGCAACGCGTTACCCTCGCCGCAGTTGTTGGAGCGGTGCCAAGTAAGTCAAGCAGCAGCTCCGCGTCGACGTCTCCCCTCACACGCTTCTCTCGCAGCTGCGTGCTGACGTCACTTTCTCCCTCACCCGCAGCAGCCGGCTGCTACATCCACTCACAACTCACTTCTTTCTCACTTCACCCTCTCCACCACCTGTCACTTTCGACCACACGTCAAATGGAATCGCTCTTTCGGCTCGTTTATTTGCGACGAAACTTGTACGAAAGCCAGACCACCTCCCATGTCTGCGTTTCAAATGAACATTTACTCGAGTAAACGATACACCGATTTCGCTTCAAACCATCCTTCCAGCACCCGCGTCGACATTCGTTTCAACCGGGTCAACACCATGCGCGCCGCTGCTGCTGCGCATCGCGTCAGGGTTTTCTTCGGGGAGATGGTTCATAACTTTCTTTGTCGTGGTGTTATAGTTGTAGCGATGCGCATCCTGTAACGTGGGCGTGCATACGGTTTCCCATTAGGGTGAGGAAGAAATTTTATCCCAGTGCCTCCCTCAAAACATGCCATCCACCCAATCGCATACGCCGGTTCTTGCCCATGGTGTGGAGGACAGCTAACACTTCCCCACATTACATGAAAATGTGAGTTAAGACCAGCCAAAATTAATATGCCTCAGAGTCCGGCAAAAAAAATTCACGGTGGAGCAACGGGAGATCTTGCTAGACTGTGAGGAAAAAGGAGGCCCATGTGGTGTTCCTGGACAAGGCACGGAGGGCTTCTGAAGCCAGTGGAGCCCTGGACCAGGAGCCCAACACACCTGCTTCTCGCTTTTCTTCCTTTTTGTTTGTTTTTTATTTTTCATTTCGATTGTACTCATCCTCCCCTCGCCGCATGTCGTTTGAGTTTGAACGAAAAAAAAAAAGCTCGCGACGGGTGCAAAAATAAAAGCGAAGTGATGATGGGCTTCCCCCGATGGCTGCCCTTGTTGCCCAGATTTCTGTATCTAAAATTAGAACTAGCTTTTTATGCATCATCAACGCTCCATCATTTTCACAAAAAAACATGCATGTGCGTAACCTTAACTTCAATTTAAGATCGGTGATTCAACACTAGAAAGAGCGGAAAAAAGAAGGTCCACTGCACGGACGCCATAGCACTCTCCCCTTTCCTAAAGGCGGACTGGCAGCATTTCCCGATTGCCACTTTGGTGAACTTTCACTTTGTACAATGACGGAACAGGTCAGAGTAGGCGAAGGTAGAGGAATTACATGGCACTTCCTCCTCAGGTGATCTCCTGATCATCTGATTCCTAAACAGCTAGTGCGCACGTCTTATGCATTGGACGTGTCAAACAACCATTCTCCCAAGAACATCACCATGACTGTCACCTGAGTAAGTTCCAGCTACGAATAATAATAATAATAATAATAATAATAATAATAATAATAATAATAATAATAATAATAATAATAATAATAATAATAATAATAATAATAATAATAATAATAATAATAATAATAATAATAATAAAATAATAATAATAATAATAATAATAATAATAATAATAATAATAATAATAATGCAGAAGGCAAACGCTGACACGAACCACTAGAATAGAATGCTGCCGTCCGTCATTCTGTTAAGAAGTATATCTTAAATATATTTAATGAAGACAAAATCACCATCTCTGGTCGAAACCTGTTACACGGAGTTCCATCAAATGCAGTTCTGATGGCATATTCAGGTTTTCCATCCGCTTTCAAATACAAGCAGCAGCGAAGCTTGCATTTCAGGAGATCGGAGTCCCACTGTAAGGTACCAAATATTTGTTTTTTCAAGTCTGTGGCAAGTACGAAATTACAACTATATTAAGTGCGAAGCAATTCTTGGCGAACTTCGGCGACTTTGAGCGCATCTATCTATCTATCTATCTATCTATCTATCTATCTATCTATCTATCTATCTATCTATCTATCTATCTATCTATCTATCTATCTATCTATCTATCTATCTATCTATCTATCTATCTATCTATCTATCTATCTATCTATCTATCTATCTATCTATCTATCTATCTATCTATCTATCTATCTATCTATCTATCTATCTATCTATCTATCTATCTATCTGTCTGTCTGTCTGTCTGTCTATCTATCTATCTATCTATCTATCTATCTATCTATCTATCTATCTATCTATCTATCTATCTATCTATCTATCTATCTATCTATCTATCTATCTATCTATCTATCTATCTATCTATCTATCTATCTATCAAGCCACCCACGACTTTTAGCTCTCCTGGCCGTTTGGATAATGGTATCGATACCAAACATGGTATGATATAACATGACTGTATGACGAACATGACAGACTAGTCATAACATGAGAAATATGGCATGTGTCATAAATGTCATGATTTACATGTCATGGTCTTGCTGCTCTTGCGGTGGTTTCATTCAAATGATATGTTGCAAAACTGGTATGGCATGACATCACTGCATGGTGAACACAAGCGACAGATCCTAACATCAAAATCATGGCATGCGTGTCATGTAAAAACATGATTACATGCCACACTCATGATGTGCTCGTGGCTGTTTCGCTAGCTTTGCATATACCAAATTTGGTATTATGGGACATGAATGGATGGACGAAGGTATCTGACTGGTGCAAACATGATAATCATGAGATGCGTGTCATGTAAAAACATGACTTTATGCTACGCTCATTATGCGCTCGCGGCCATCTCGTTAACTTCACATGTACGAAATTCGGTATTACGTGACGCAAACGGACGGACATAGGTAAATGACACGTACAAACATGATGATCATGACATGCGTGTCAAGTAACAATATGACTACGTCCCACACTCATGATGCGCTCACGGCCATTTCGCTACCTTCACATGTGCCAAAGTTCGGTATTACGTCACGTAAACGGATGACCAAGGTGCAAACATGACTGGTGCCAACATGATAATCCTGAGATGCGAGTCATGTAAGAACATTAATACTCGCCACACTCAAGACGCCATGACACTTCGACGTGAGTCGGCGCGCGTGCGCACTGGCGTTCGTTTTATCGCGTTACGCCAGCGATTCCACGCCAGGTCCCGATATCCCGATAGTAGAGATCAGTGGATCTTCCCACTGACCTTTATTGTGGATCTGCATGCCATATACTAGGAGGCGCGCGCCGCGCTGCGTGGCTTTGACGCATGCGCGTTTGAGCGCACACGGCGTCCCTCCGTCACGAAGAGAGGCAGACACTGTGCTGTCCAAATAACGTCGTCGGCGCAAAAATGCAGCATGTCGCATTTCGCGGCGGTTGCCACCGGGCCGCGCCGACGGACGCTGGTCGCACCTGGCGTCACACTATAGAGCGTTCGCGTTTTGCTAGCGTGGCGTCGCCTGCGCGTGCGTCAACGTTGCGTCGGAGTATAGTGGGCCTTTCATGTCGCGCTCGCCACTGTTGTGCTAGCTCCACATGTACCAAATTTGGTATCACGGGAAGTGAATGGACGACGAAGGTAAATGACACGCCCAAACCTGATAATCACAATATGCGTTTCATGTAAAACATGACTACATGCTACGCTCATAGCATTCTCGCGGTCGTTTCACTAGTTCCACATATATCGAATTTTGTAATACGTGACGTGAATGAACGATTAATGTAAACGACACGTCCAAATATGATAATCATGACATGGATTTTATGTAAAACATGACTACATGCTACGCTCATAGCACGCTCGCGGCCGTTTCACTAGCTCCATTAATACCAAAGTTGGTATAAGGCGACTTTAATAGATGACAAAGGTAAATGAAACGCCCAAACATGATAAGTATGACATGGATGCCATGTACTGCATAATTTACCTTCCGCATCTTAACGTTATGCTGATTTTAAAGTGACCTATCACCCTTCCTTATTCGTGCTTCGCATATCATCAATTCCCAGTGCTCGGGGGATCCGCCAAGTTTTTCTTTGAAAACCTTACTTTTGGATCCAGATACCAAGATTACTTCTAGGCATACGGAGTAATTTGATTTACCCGATATCTAAAGTGATGATAAATGCATATTACCGAAATTCACAGACCTTCATTTTAACGATACTGAGATCGCAGGCACCAGGTTATGCATTCGCAAGGCACTAATTAAATTGTCGCCGTTCTTACTAGAATGTGGTTCACCTTAACTTTTCTTTTATTCACATTGGATAAATTTCATTTCCCTTTATTTCATTACCAATTAATGCACCGCACATCTATTCTGTCCTGTTTCGCACATCAGTACTCTATTGACATTGTGAAAGCCAGCGTCCACGGTAATTAAGTTTGAGGTACTCTTTTTTGCCTGTGGCACGTGGGTGCGTAAGAACATGCCTATTATTTTGTGAGCGAATGTTTTACCGCTCTATAGGACCGATAAAAACGTGCACTATACTTCGCACAGTTGTACCACGCTGTTACCGCTATCAGTACTGCACTATTCAGCAAAAGTATTCAGCAAAAGTATTCAGCAAATATAATAAGTTTGTTATTAAAGGAGAAAATGAAGGTGAAAGCAGAATGTTTACATTCTGTGCCAAATTTCGCGCGGGTGACGTCACGAGTATGAAAGTCTATTAGTCGTACTTTGCCAACACTGGCTCGACGAAATTTCCCAAAACTTGGTATGGAAATTTTTAGGCTCACATCAGCAGACAGTGTGGTTCATTTTAAAGACGATATATAGTTTTTATTGTGATACTTCAACCCGCATATTTCAACATGTCTGTCAGTCTTTATGTTTGTCTGTCCGTCACACAATTGAGCCACCTCGTAAACGTTGAGGTTCAAATAACCTTATTAAATGTTTAACGCCTTGCTCACCGCCCGGCCATCTCGATCGGGTAGCTGCGTTCATACTTGTAAACATTGTCGATCAAAATATCAGATATTACGCATATCCGAGGCGCAACACCAAATCGTAAGCATTAGTGTGATTGTTTAATAGAAAATGCGTAATACGTGATTTTAAAGATCGTAATGCTTGTTGTGCTGCGCTGACAATGCGGCGCTATGATGGAAAAAGCGGGCGTGTTTCCTATGCTTCTCTAAGACGACACAGTGTTGCCACCCACCAGTGGCTCTGCGTACTACACAAGCTTTTGTTTCTCAACACCACTGCCAGCTGGCGTCCATATCTCACAACGTAACTCCAGACAGAATGTTGTAGTCTTTCGACGACATTCTCACCGAATCACGCAGATACACGAGCGAAATATTTACCTATTAGAAGGAAGCCTTAGTAAAACATCAATATATATGAAGTCATGGTGTTTAGTGCAGGGATTTTATGGTGGCGTTGCGACCCGCATTTTTTTGTGAATTTTCTAGTTTACGAAGCGTCTTATCGTGGCTGGCATGGCAATTTTGAAATTGTGAAAGGGTTATTTACCAATGAGTGAAAAATTGGGTTCCTCGTTAATGTCTCTTCAACACAAGTGCCAGGTATTAGCTTCACGTCCGAATGAACCTGTGAATTACTCTATTTTATAGCCCCCGTCTCCGCTTGTTTATTTCTCACCACATTGTCTGCCTATTCATGCAGCAAATTGTCAAACAAACGATCCCACATTCCAAGTCGAACGCACGGTGAATTTTCATTGAAATTCTGCATGAGTTACCTTGGTGTAGGTGACGTTAGGGTATGTATATGAAAAGTGTTTCTTGCAGTACTCCTCGCCACTCATCACTTGACCGGGCAGTGGCAATGTGTCATTGGGCAAGAAAGCTCGATGACGTTGCTTGTGGTGGTCCTTTAAACAGTATGAGTAGCCAGACCTGTACGAAAGAATTGCGGTGGTATCGTCACTGTAATATCTGTTCTAACACCTTACTGGAAGATCCACCACGCATTTCCCCCTCCGAAACCCGAGACTGAAATTTTTAAGTCTTGACGCTATTTCATGAACGATTGTAAGAAGGTGGTGGATTATTTTGAACAGGCACAATTAGTAACTGCACAGTATTATTAATCGTAACAACAATTACATGAAAACAAAAGCAAGAAAAGCCTAATAATAGATGTTTTATCGAACACCTCTTTAGAATACCTACGCACGCAACGTTAACAGATGTGGGCGCATTAAGAGAATGCCAAGTAAGCGCAATGCACGCCCTGTCCCGGTGTTTCTCACTATCGCATCATATTTCTCGCGCCTAAACCTCGGAACCTTAGATGAAGCTTAATAAGAGCGGCAGAACCGATTTGGCACGGGAAGAGAATAAATGGGCAGCCTATTACATGCAATTAAAGCTATCCAAACAGCCAAGGGCTTTCGTGTCAGCTCTCACTTCCACTTGCTTCTTCCTCGAGCGTACGAGAAGTCTTGGTCTTCTTCGGAAAGAACGTGCCGCACAACTACCCCCGCTCTTACGCCGATATAGGCTTTCCTAAACTTAACTAGAGGGGAGTGTGGCGCTGCCATCGTTCAGCGGCAATGCAAATGTAGGTAGTATACGAATTTTCCTTGTTTTCGTGCTTGCTGGCTTCGAACACACTTGCGGCTTTGTTTATTGCTGTTTTGATTTTGTTTCGGATGAAATAACGGCCTACTAGGAACCTCACGGCTCGATTTGAAATGGTGAACCTAAAAACTGGAGGTGGTGAAGTGCGACTGCAGAAAATTTGCTGATTATCATTTTGTGGCAAAGCAGCTGCAAGCCACACTAAGGCAAACTGAGACAGAAGAACGAAGATTAGAGAAATCCGTGTTCTTCCCACCATCCCCATGCTCTCTGAAGCGCCGTGCGTTTGAGCTCCCACAGAGACTAGCGTCAGAGTTCCCTCTAGTGAACTTATTGGAAACTACATGCTTACAACCTTAGCCTGGTTTCTCTTCTAAAACCACGCCTATGATCTTCGCGCCCAGCGTGGCCTACGATTGGTTATCCCATCTGCAGCGCATGCCTGCGACCCTGCCTTCTCGTTTATTCTGTCTCTGCATCTTCTGCATTGAAATTCTACGTCCATAGCACTTTCTTCTTCCGTATTTATTAATCAGGCGTGGCTTACCTCTCTAAACATTACTAGGTTGCACGTATGATGTCACCTACTTCAGAAATTCAGCGATGGCTCTCTTGCTGCAGTTGGAGAAATGGAAACGGTTCCTTCCACTCGTGTACGGGTTCATTAAGTAGCCGTCTTTCGCCGGGCAGCCGCTTGAAGAGCCTTCACCATCATGATGGGATGATAACCTACAAAAAGCAAATTTTAGATCATCTATTCTATCTTTAGTGAAGGTAAGGATATAGAAAGAAGAATTTATTATATTTCTATCAAACATTGATGCGGAAGCTGCACGTATCTTAATAAACCTAGCTGATACAGAAACCAGAAGTGAAGCACACTTTGTACAAAATCAAGCCTAACAATGAACAAGTGCCTAATTTCCACCTCAAATCGTTTTAAATTAGTTTGGTGCAAAGACTGATTTTCGAAACATTCGTGATACTGGAAGTGCCCGTTGCACACACACACACACAAAGGTTATAGGTACTGCCGGCCACCAAAACTTGCGTGATCTGCAGTGCATGGTGGAACGACGAAAAGCTACTTTGCTGCATCTTTTATCATCACACGACGTTGTGTGTAGACTATCGGTTGTGTCCTCCTGAATCAGTTCCACCAACGCACTGTTGCCGAAACTAGTCTCGGAGGTCATGGTAAATAGCCTCATTGCCCCGCTATGTTACGGTAGGGGACGCAGCAATGCAGGTCATCGTCGCTTAACCACGTGTTGCAGATCCCGCAAGCATTTACGGCCTTGATGAAACACCCTGTGTGTGAAGTAATACGGGTGCGTAAGTCGAGATTAAAAGCTCAAGTACATCGAATCATTTTTTTTTGGTTGGCACTGAAAAATACGTACAAGTTAACTTTTATGAATCCCATGATAAAACGCAGAGTAGAAGTTGACGAAAGTGTACAGTGGCAGAAACAAACAACAAAACCTTACATTAAAAAAATTACACCATCTTCCACTAAAAAGAACCATGTCGAGATGCGAAGCAGAGCTTGTGTTTGTTACCATTTGTTCTTTGCATCTGTATGTTTTCGTGTATGTTTCCTTTGTGTGGGAAGTTGTGCACATATATTGTGTACCGCTTATGTTACCTCCTCCCATTTGTGTGTATTACCCCGTGTGTGACGCGAAGTGAACACCCAGCGCTGCTAGGAGAGTGCAACGGAGTGAATGCGTGCAACATTATACAGGATCGAACAGCTGTGGTGGGGAGATAAACAAGAGAAAAGAAATGAAGCGGAAGCAACACTCCGCCATCTCCTCGCGCTCACAGAATAAGAGGGTTTTCTTACGTCCTCGTGCTCATGCGAGGAAAAAAGGAGAGCTGGCGCGTGTGCAGTGGGCAAGCGGACGGTCACCGAGGGACGGACACAACTCCTTGCAACTGCTGGTTCGCATCTAAAAAAGCAGGTTAATGCCCTTGCACTTTGTCACGTAGTTTCCGACTATGAACTTCTACCCGACTCAGCAACACACCATATACTCACAAGTGTCCCACTTCGTGAGCCGCAGAGTGTACTCCCGAAAAAAGACCCGCATCGTCCTCTCCTATTCCCACTTTGTGAACTCTGCATGCTTGGCCCAGGTAGGCTACACCTGCACAACAACAGTGCAATGTTATTTCATTGGTGTGTGTGGTTTGGCGTGCCGAAGGGACTCATGCGATGAACACTGCAGTAGTGGGGGGGTTCCGAATAATTTAGACCATCCGAGGTTCTTTGGAGGGGTACTGAAAAATCTCCGAAAACAGAAAAATTCAAGCTGATCCCACGTACCTCGGGAATCGATGCTGTGTGAAGCTTCCAGATAGAAGGTGAAGGTGCTTTAATTTTCTCACTGAACGAAACTTCATGAAGTGGCGCTCAATATATATATACAGATTCACGCACACACATGCGTTGAACAACCGCGTATGTTTTGTATTAGCAGTTGTTTGTCGCTGCGTGACGATGCCAACAGACAACATGGATATTAGCAGCAGCAGAAGCGGTAAGCTGATGTGAAGCGCTGGTGTTTCCGCTGGTTCTCACGAGAACGGTGGCCCTGAACACTGCTACACCAATAAGACTCAACGTATAGCGCCTAACTACAATTGACGTTAACGCGACATTATGGTCGTATTGTAGGAGTACATATGTTATGTTCATAAAATTTGATAGCCAGTAGTACGTGCAACCAGAATTGACGTTTGCCGAACGCTAAGGTCTATTTGCAAAGTATTTCCGAGACCCAGCGTAGCCCTGTGGTAGAATAATTGATTACCAAGCAAAATGCTGAGGTTCAATTCCTGCTGCGACACTGACATTTGTTCTTTGCAGTTGTCTGGTTCACGTTGCCTATCTCAGCGTTTTCTTGACGCTCATGCGTTAAAATTACCCGTGTGCGTTCTCGCCATTCCTGGATGAATATAAAATTTTGATCACCTGTGGCCGATATTTGCATACCAGTAGCACATACCCGCCCCCGGGTATACGTGCCACTGTATTTTGGACACTGACTAATTGATTGATATGTGGGGTTTAACGTCCCAAAACCACCATATGACGACATACGCTACGAGATTGTGACATTATCGATGTGATGTTCAGTGCGTCGTATTCGTCAAATCATGTTACCCTCCCGTACTAATTTTGGCGTACCCAAGTTAAAGGGGTGATCATGAGAGCTCTCATACATAGTCGCATAGACAGATAGATAGATAGAAAGATAGATAGATAGATAGATAGATATATCGATAGATAGATAGATAGATAGATAGATAGATAGATACTAAGTGCGCTAGATGTACGCAAGTAAAACAAACAAGCGTTATAATTGCTCTCGGTGTTTACCGTCTTTTCGTAAAAATTCCAGTCTGCTGATGTGATGTCGCAGGACAAAAAACTGTCTATTAAAACATATACAAGGGATATAAACTACTATTAACTACTACTACTACTACTACTGGTGAGGTGTCATCTGGGTTACTGCTAGTTCTTATAGTATTAAGGTCGTGGTTGTCTTGGCTACTGTACAGATCTCTGTAAAACTCCTCCGCTATTTTAACTATCCTATCCATATTGGTAGTTATTTTGCCTTCTTTGTCCTTTAGTGTATACATCCGACTTTTGCCTATCCCAAGTTTCCTCTTCACTGCTTTGACGCTTCCTCCATTTTTCAGAGCATGTTCAATTCTCTCCATGTTATACCTTCTTACATCGCATACTTTACGTCTATTAATCAACTTCGAAAGCTCTGCCAGTTCTATTTTGTCTGTTGTACTTGACACTTTCATGCTTTGGCGCTTCCTAATTAGGTTCTTCGTTTCCTGGGAAAGCTTGCCAGTGTCCTGTCTAACTACCCTGCCTCCAACTCCCACTGCACACTACGTAATGATACTCGTCAGATTATCATTCATTGCATCTACGCTAAGATTGGTTTCCTCACTAAGAGCCGAGTACCTGTTCTGCAGCGACACTCTGAATTCCTGTACTTTCCCTCTCAGTGCTCGCTCATTGATCGGCTTCTTGCGTATCAGTTTCTGTCGTTCCTTCTTCAAGTCTAGGCGAATTCGAGACCGTACCATTCTATGGTCACTGCATCGTACCTTGCCAATCACTTCCACATCCTGCACGATTCCAGGATGCGCACTCATTATAAAGTCTATTTCGTTCTTATTTTCGCCATTAGGGCTCCTCCATGTCCACTTGCGGTTTTCTCGTTTTCGGTAGAAGGTATTCAAAATCCGCAAATTATTGCGTTCTCCGAATTCTACTAGTAGCTCTCCTCTGGAGTTTCTAGTGCCGATGCCATAATCTCCTACTGCCTGGTCTCCAGCCTGCTTCTTCCTTATCTTTGCATTAAAGTCGCCCATCACTATAGTATACTGTGTTTTTACTTTACTCATTGCCGATTCCACGTCTTCATAGAATCTTTCAACTGAAGCGTCATCATGGCTGGATGTAGGCCCGTAAGCCTGCACTACCTTCATCTTGTATCTTTTATTCAGTTTAATTACAATACCTACCACCCTTTCATTAATGCTATAGTATTCCTCTATGTTGCCAGCTATGTTTCTGTGAATTAGGAACCCCACTCCCAGTTCTCTTCTGTCTGCCAAGCCCTGATAGCAAGGAACGTGCCCATTCTGTAGCACAGTATAGGCCTCATCTGTCCTCCTAACCTCACTGAGCCCTATTATATCCCATTTAACACCCTCTAGCTCCTCGAATAGTACAGCTAGACTTCCCTCACTAGATAAGGTTCTAGCGTTAAACGTTGCCAAGTTCAGGTTCCAATGGCGGCCTGTAGTCCAGAGATTCTTAGCACCCTCTGCTGCGTTGCAGATCTGACCGCCGCCATGGTCAGCTGCTTCGCAGCTGCTGGGGACTGAGGGCCGTGAGTTATTTGACGTATGCATGTGGGAAATAGTGGCCAGATACTGCACCAGATTAGCCAATCCTTCTCTGATGAGGGAGTGCGTTCCCGGCGGTGGTTACCGGTGAGGCCGCACCCCAGGCCTCTTAATGCAGTTACATTAACACGCGGATTTTTTTTTTTTCCGGTTGGGAACTGCGCGGCACCGGGATTTGAACCACGGACCTCTTGCATTCGAGACGGATGTTCTAACCACTACGCCATCGCCTCACCGGTAATGATAGAAGAAGTCAGAAAAGCTTTGGAGAGCATGCAAAGAGGCAAAGCTGCTGGTGAGGATCAGGTAACATCAGATCTGCTGAAAGATGGAGGACAGATTGTGTTAGAAAAACTAGCCACCCTGTTTACGAGGTGTCTCCTGACGGGAAGGGTACCAGAGTCTTGGAAGAACGCTAACATCATCTTAATACATAAGGAAGGAGATGACAAGGACTTGAAGAATTACAGGCCGATCAGCTTGCTCTCTGTAGTATACAAGCTATCCACAAAGGTAATTGCTAACAGAGTAAAGAAAACATTAGAATTCAATCAACCAAAGGAACAAGCAGGATTTCGAACAGGCTACTCAACAATTGACCACATTCATACTATCAATCAGATAATAGAGAAATGCTCAGAGTATAACCAACCTCTATACATAGCCTTCATAGATTACGAGAAGGCGTTTGATTCAGTAGAAATATCAGCCGTCATGCAGACACTGCGGAATCAGGGCGTAGATGAAGTATATATAAACATTCTGGAAGAAATCTACAGGGGATCAACTGCTACCATAGTGCTTCATAAAGAAAGCAACAGAATACAAATCAAGAAGGGTGTAAGGCAGGGGGACACAATCTCCCCAATGCTATTTACCGCGTGCTTACGGGAGGTTTTCAGAAGCCTAGAATGGGAACAGTTAGGGGTAAGAGTTAATGGAGAATACCTTAGTAACCTGCGCTTTGCCGATGACATTGCATTGCTGAGTAACTCAGGGGACGAATTGCAACTCATGATTACGGAGTTAGACAAGGAAAGCAGAAAGGTGGGTCTTAACATTAGTCTGCAGAAAACGAAAGTAATGTACAACAACCTCGGAAAGGAGCAGCGCTTCGAGATAGGTAATAGTGCACTTCAAGTTGTAAAAGACTACGTCTACTTAGGGCAGGTAATAACCGCAGAGCCTAACCACGAGATTGAAGTAACTAGAAGAATAAGAATGGGGTGGGGCACATTCGGCAAGCACTCTCAAATTATGACAGGTAGATTACCACTATCCCTCAAGAGGAAGGTATATAACAGCTGTATCTTGCCGGTGCTTAGCTGCGGAGCTGAAACCTGGAGACTTACAAAGAGGGTTCAGCTTAAATTGAGGATGACGCAGCGAGCAAAGGAAAGAAAAATGGTAGGTGTAACCTTAAGAGACAGGAAGAGAGCAGAGTGGATTAGGGGACAAACAGGGGTTAAGGATATCATAGTTGAAATAAAGAGGAGGAAATGGACATGGGCTGGGCATGTAGCGCGTAGACAGGATAACCGCTGGTCATTAAGGGTAACTAACTGGATTCCCAGAGAAGGGAAGCGGGCTAGGGGGAGACAGAAGGTTAGGTGGGCAGATGAGATAAAGAAGTTTGCGGGTATAAATTGGCAGCAGCAAGCACAAGACCGGGTTAACTGGCGGAACATGGGAGAGGCCTTTGTCCTGCAGTGGACGTAGTCAGGCTGATGATGATGATGATGATGATGATAATGACTACTACTACTACTACTACTACTACTACTACTACTACTACTAATAATAATAATATTATTATTATTATTATTATTATTATTATTATTATTATTATTATTATTATTATTATTATTATTATTATTAATTGTGACGTGTCGTCACGGCCATCGGATATGTGGGTTGTGAAGCGGTATAGTTTCTTTACCGACCAAGAAGGGACTGCCAGACCATTTTCTTTTTTCTTTATCGCTGCCTGAAGAGGCACGAGCTCAGCGCCCATAGTCGTTCTTTTCGTGCGAACGCGCGAAACACGAACCGAACGCCGTCTGCGGTCGCTCGTGACATATGCTGTTTTTTTCTTAAGTCGAGCCGAATTAATAACGCGTTGGAGAGGTCATTTCGCAGAAAGCTCGACGTCAGCATGGGCGTCGGGGTTGGTGTCATTGGTTATGAGCAAAGAAATCATCTTGTCCATGACAAAAAATTGAGGAAAGTACAAGTAAAATAAATTGTAGAAAAATTCTGGGCCTGAGTGTGTATCGAACTGGAGTCGTTTGCGCCGCAAGTAGGCGTTCTACTACACAGCCGCGCTTCTGCTTGTAAATGCAGTGAAAGTAACTTTCATGCCTTACAAAAACACACGCGTCCTTTATACATGCCTAAAAATATAATATGAAATATTGCAGTAATAATACATGGTACAAGCGCACTTTGCAATCGCGTCTGAACATGTGATTATAATGTAAGTTCGTATAGTGAAGCTGGCCACCCGCTACAAAAGGCACATACATTACTACGCATATCCTCTGAAGGCTACGAATAGTGGGTGCACTGTACTTTGGAAAACGTTTCATGCGCTAAATCTGAAATGCGCTCTAGGGAGAGGATATTGCTATCGCTTTCAAGTCTTGAAGGCGAAGCTTAAAGATCACCTGATCTTTGGCACACTGCACCATATGTGCCATGAATAAGCTCACCGAAAAAAAAAAGATTGAATATACATGTTTCCTACGGTATGTGTGCTTACCTGCAGTATTGTTTCTTATACCTGCAGAAGTTATATCTACCAGGTCTCGTCTGAAAGAAAGATACAACAAAGTAAATGTTAGAGTTGTCAATATATTACTACCTTGTACTACCTGATGAAAATTTGTGAGTTGCTGAGCACTTTAAAAAACTGCAATGGCGAAAAGCTACTTGGGCCTTCTTTTGATCTTCTGTGTGTTTCTCAAACAAGAAATCAACAGAAGGTACAACAAGAAGTTAAACAGCGCAGGTGGCACTGCCAGCACAAAGGGGCCACGTACGACGTCGAAAATAGACTTCCTTATATTTAGAGGGAAGATGGAGCGAAAAACAATTTTCCTCCTATTAGTTAATACTTGTTCAAACCCCAACATCACCACGTCTCACGCTAGAACTCACTTGGCAAGCGCAAAGACGACCAAAAATAAATTGCTGCTAGCCGCGTCTCGTGCGAAATCCCGCACGAAATGTCACGGCGTCGTAGATTTTTTGACGGTGTCTACTAAGGTTTACGTAGTTTCTAGTCTGCATAAAAGAAGTGGATTGTTGTCTGAGAGCCCCGAAAATCAATAGAGGAAGTTTTAGAAATTTCTTTCGCGCCAACGAAGCTCAAGTTTGGCGTGAACACTTCGAAATTCATCGAGTCAAACGCGGAGATTCGGGCACCAAATTTAAGAATTACCTCTTTAGTGCCTAAAGTCGCGAATTTTTCACACACCGAGAAACTCCGAGCAAGGAAGTTACGGAATGCGTGCCAATTTTATAGCCGGCTGTCTTGCGGGAAACGTAGCTGTCAGCATGAATAATGTAGCACTATCTTGCGTACTGTATTTTATGTAGAACCGATTATTTTGTAGCTGATCGCGAAGAGTGCGAAGCTCGTGCAAGAGAATTCTCTTGGACACAAGCTGTGTCCTAAATAAACTTGATTATTTGGTACGTACACGTCCAAGACGGGACACGCGACATTTCCGCAGTTTTGAAGTACGTTTTTATTTGCGCGGTCCTCGCTTCTCGGGCATTTGGAGAATTAGCGACATGCATAGGTGAAATTTGGATAAGTTGCCTTTTCAGTCATTTAAAGGTTGCTCTTTAAAGCCGTAAATGAAACAAGTTCTCATTTTCTTCGGCTGTCTCAAAATTAGGGCGTTATACAAATAATATTTGACGGTTTAGTGCATTTAATAACGAAATTAGAGTTTTACGTCCAAATACCACGTTACGCTTATGAGAGATGGCGTAGTCAAGGGCTCGTGTAATTTTGACCATGTGGCGTTCTTCAATGTGAACTGACATCGCAAAGTACACGAGCCTCTATCGTTACGCTTTTACCAAAATGTGGCCGCCACCACCGGAATCGAACCCGCAACCTCCGGGTCAGCAGCTGAGCCCCTTAACCACTAATCCAGGGAGCTGAATTTAGGGAGGTGAAAGCAATGACACTCGAGTTCTCGCCGTATACTAAACCCTGTCGCTGTACATCCTTAGTGCCGTTTTAGGTCAATATATGCAAGAAGAAAAGGAGAAAAGTTTTCACTTTCAAGCGGGATTAGGCAAATGAGAAACCCTGGTAGCTTTTTCATTTTGTATATCAAGCACTTAACGTCCAATATCGCCCCATCTTCACAAATGTCATCTACTTCTATAACGTCGGTACTAAAGCAGAATAAAAATGCCGGTTTTAATGACTCATGAAATGAGTGTAGATTTAGAGTAAAAAGCGTCCAAAAGACATCTCAAGCATTTTGCAAAGGCGTTTCACAGCTATTCGCCCATAAATGTTAGGCATGAGGTGACATTACCACGTGGTGTTTATTGGCATCACGACGGGATGTCGATGCAGTGTTTGAAGGAGCATCTAAAACTTCCATCTTAAGACAACAGCTTTTTGTCCCACTGCTGCCTCGTTAACATACATGGCGAGCAATATCTGAAGTCGGGATGATGACGCTACCTTGAAATACCCCTTTTCAGTTTTGCGTGGGCATATATAAACGCCCAGATACTATTGCAAGCGCAAATATGCATAAAGAGTGCTTGAATACCCTGCTTCCTCCCCTCTCAGAGAAAAAAAAACAAATTGAATACTTCACTGATCAAAGTCAATCAGCTATAATAGTCATCTACCTCATGTACTTTCCTGCATAACAACAGCGGTCATGGCATTTACCGATCGCCAACGAGGGTGGGCCACTTAGGTGACAAAGCATTTATGACAGGGAAGTGGTGAGAGCTAGCCTTTAAAAAAAACGTAAACGACAGGGAACCCGTGAGTATTATCCTGAAGCCGAATTACTATCCAAACACTCGATTTTTTTATCTTCGATTCAGGTGATCATATTCGAGTGTGCAATTGTAGTAAACTAAGCTTTGGTGTATATTTACTACAGGGGCGTACTTGTTGATAACAAAACACTTCCTTGTTACGCGAAATTGTTTCATTCCCGGGTCCACCCCGGCTTCGCTGATGTATTTCCGTCAAGGATATGACGTATTAAAATATATACTAGGTGATTGCAAAAAAAAAATGGGCCCCGTATCTGCATGTTAATCTGGAAATGTCGTCGAAAGACGATAGTCTTGCGTATGAAGAGACTGAACAAAACGTTTATTTGATGTTCTGCGCAAGAAAATCGGTGAATAGTATTCTGGAGGCACTGCGTTAGAGTGCCTCGGGCGTGTAGCGGAGGTGAACGAGCACACCAAGTCACGTCGCACGTGAGACATGAGCGCTATCTGGCAGTTATCTTGGAAAACAAAACACGTGACTCTGAGACGGGCGTGCGCGCCCGTCTCAGAGGTGATAAGGTGTAGAACGCAAGGCGACGGGTAGGCGCCACTACCGTGTCGTCTTAGCAAAGCGTCGGAAACGCTTCCCTTTTTGTGCAACTGTTACATGGTCAGCGCCGCGTGATAAACGCTACGGTCCTCACAATAACTTATGCATGCCTTTTCTAGTAAAATACGCACATACAGTATATATACGTGTTGTTATGGTGCCTCAGATATGCGCGATAATTGCTTTTTAATTGACAATCGCACAAGTATCGACGCTGAACCTTGAGCAACATTGGTGGGCGCTTGAGATATGGGGTCGGCCGTTTGGGATATCCGCTGCTGCCGTTTTAAATGCCCGGTACCGTTAAGGAGGGACAAATAGACAAATGGACAGACAGACAGACAGACAGACAGACAGACAGACAGACAGACAGACAGACAGACAGACAGACAGACAGACAGACAGACAGACAGACAGACAGACAGACCAAAATTTATGCGTCGAAGGCCCCCAAGAAAGACTATCGTCTTTAAAACAACAACAAGATGAAAGAGTTCCGTAGCGGGGCGTGGAACCGGCGAGCTCTCACTTTGCAGCGCATGACGCAAGTCACTAAGCCACGAAGCGCACGTTCCAAAGCTTGGTAACGGTAAGCCATTCATTTCATATACGGTTCCAAGAACTATCAGCCTATGAATGCTTCAGCACTACACCAAGGTTTATGCGTGCAATGTTATAGAGATTACTCACCCGGTGACCAGAAAAACGACGTCTGCCCTTCGTGCGTCAGGGTTTAACCAGGTATACTCGCGCAACTTTATGAGAGTTTCGTTGGAGACGAGTTTATTATCCGGCCGTGCATCTAAATATTCCTCATCTATTTCCTGAAAATAGAACGCGTTAACATTGGCAGAGTCATTGCATGGATAATACTTACGCTTGTGGTCATATCAAGAGCAACGAGTGCTATATAACCAGGCGGACTGAGTTGTTGCATTCGCAAACTCACCTGCAATTAAGAGTGAAATCACAATTGAGCTTCGACAACGCTGGATTCTTGAATGGTAGCAATATTTGCACCATTTCGATGTAGGGCTATACAAGAAAATTAAGAACTGTCCATCTCTTATATGGCAGGATCAAATTTCCTATTTGGCTTTATTTTTGTCGGCTCTAAACTAGATTACACGTACCTGCAACACTATACCGCGTAAATATAAATTGACCTTTGTAATGTGATTACTTGCCTCCCGAATCGACTGCCACAATAACTTTTTAGGACCTTTCAAGAACGAGTAGAGTTACATGATGATTTGTGGGGTTTAACGTCCCAAAACCACGATATGATTATGAGAGACGCCGTAGTGGAGGGCTCCGGAAATTTAAACCACCTGGGGTTCTTTAACGTGCACCCAAATCTGAGCACACGGGCCTACAACATTTCCGCCTCCATCGGAAATGCAGCCGCCACAGCCGGGATTCGAACCCGCGCCCTGCGGGTCAGCAGCCGAGTACCTTAGCCACTAGACCACCGCGGCGGGGCATAGAGTGGAGTTACAGATACCTATCGTAACTCTTTAGCGTTTTCTTTCCCTTTTCGTCCTGGTGTGAACACAGAAAGCATCACAAGAGAGCGGTGTTGATGACGAGGAGTTCGTATTTGAGCATACGTCATGGCTTTCAGTGTTTGCTATTTCCATTCAGCACGTAACCATGGAGTGCGATCACGAACGCGCAAGTGTAGAGTGCAGCGCGGGTACGTCACGCCACTCCATGGCGGCTGCAGGAAATATGCTGCTAATGACACTCAAATCAGCCCATGGTCAAGTTCATGTGCTTTGTGGTATATGACGCAGTTGATTTTGTACACATGGCAAAATGTGTAGAAACAGAAGAGAGGAATTTTTAGATGTCTGAAATTTATTAGCGAAATTCATGCCACGTGCTATTCTATGACATTTCAATAACATGTTCTTTGGAGTCTCAACTACCGATCGGCCGCAATTCGGAACCACCTTCGAAAAGCTTCACAAGGCTTTGTTAACCAATGGAAAAGAATCGTATAGCTAAAGCTTAATGGCACCACTATGACAGGCATATCCTGACCGATCTAATCTCAGGTGCGTCTAACGTTCCGCTGTGTCTGTTTCACGGAAAAGTTTGCGTAAACTGAATGTGTGTACATATATTAGCAGCAAGCTTCGCGGTTTCAATCAGTCTCTGCAGTATTGTGTTCTTCAAAATTTAACGACTTGTTTAATTGACTCATGTTATATTTTTGGTCAATATAGCCACTCATTAAGGCGCAAGCCTCACATGCCTCACGAAACGCCGTCGGTGTCACCGTCCGGCATTGGCTACCTGGTGTGTCGGGAACAACATGAGAGGTACAAAATATTACCGTCACGTGATGACTTCATGACGTGACGTAATGACGTCACAGATTGTCAAAACTTGTGATGTCATTATCCCGTAATCAAGTCGTCATTGTTACTTCACGTTACGCGACGTCACACGATCATGTCGTCCTATGACATCGCAGCTTCGTCAAACGTATTTTGATCATGGAGGCAATGTAAAACCACGTGAGATGTCTGCGGTCTTGGAAGCTGCACAGAATCGCGTTAGGTGCACGGAGGTTACGGAGGCTGGCGGGGTTGGATCAATCAAAAGATCGACACGGAAGAAAAGATAGCTTTAGCTTTCGAGTCTTCCCCTGGGAATGCGTATAACTCTGCGAGTTTTGTCACTGTGCTTTTCACTACGTCCGTATCACGGCAGGTAACATTCCCAGCAGATACTCATAATGCGATGGTGTTACACCTCGGCATCTTCAGCGCTGCCATCATCGTAACTGTCATACAACAGATGGTAGTGGCGCCCCAGCAGCTTAAGACCTGTTAATCTATGGTTCGAGAAGTTAGTGGCCCTGCAAAACTTTTGAGCATGTTTGGAAAACGCTGCCGATCGGTTGTCCAGGCTCACGAAAACACGCGAGCCAAATAGTATAGCGTAGCACGTGGCCGCGAATTCAAGTTGAATTTTTCAAATCAGCTAAAAATTGCTTTCTCTTACCTCAAAAAATCACGTTACAAATGCTAAATGATAATGCGAGCTCAAAAATCGCTCTTCGCAGACTCACATCCATTCTACCAGCCTTTGGTGTATGCAACAGCTACCGCGGAAGGCCGTGAGTTGTCTACGTGTGCGTATGTGATGACACTGCATAGGCCGCGCATTCGAAGGAAAAAGAAAGACAAAAGCGCTCATGGTAATAAGGTGCACGTGACGAATTTTCCTTCCACGTGCCATGCCTCTCTACTTAGCTTTCAGCGCTTTCATCGCGAATAGAAAAGGGAGAATGCAATCGCAGCGTGCGACAAATTTTTGTGACTCCTCTCGTACGGGACAGATTCTATAACTTTGTGCGGCGGTGGATTCGGGAGGCAACTAGCTTCTTTAGTGAATTCATTCCATGGCTACTCAGAAAAGTGTTGCTGGGCTTCCTTAAAGGGAATCGAAGAAGCACTTACAGAGTGCCAAAATGCCAAGAAATAGTCCATGTTCGCTCCTCTGTCATCGCCGAAATGCGCAGTGTGTTGTAAGTCACTGATAGCAGTAAAGTTCTATGGTGAAGCTTGTTAGAGCTCGTTCTTGTGGGGCTGGAATAAATAAAACAAATGCATCAAGGTAATAAACTCAGTCGGGCAGCACACAGTAAGTCAGGGAAGATACATTTATGTATAATATACGGTTAACAAAAGCACATGGTATACTGGCTATATAGATAGTATACAGGCACATACTGTAACGTCTGTGTTTATTAATATACAAACTATGCTAACTCGTTAAAACCAACACATGGTGTATGGATGTACGGCTAACACTGAAAGCATATTAGCAAGCGAAAATGGCAAAACAAAGGAGTGGGCGACACAAATCAGTGATCAGACAGAGCTTTCATAATTGTTATTCTAAAAATTTCGGAAGTCTGCACTGGCTTGTATGCACGTGAGACCGAATATGAAGGGCCGCACATGCGCTAATAATACAGAAACAAAAAGATGCTTTAAAAGAAACGATAAAGAGAAATTACTTTTTCGCGCATTAGTAAATTACTGATTCACAACACCAAAATACCAATATACGCAAGATAAAGCTTGGTAAGCTAGAAAAGGCAAAAAAATGTAGGTGACTACACCACCTGTAAATTTCCCCAATTAATGCCAGTGGCGTCACAAATTTTGATGACGTCTACAAGGCCATACATATTTGCTCCTCGGTAAAAACGAAGTACACTGTTCTATGAGGGGTTCACAGGCATAACGTACCAACTTAAAAAAAAAATCATTGAGTCGACGTCGCCTAGACATGAAGAATGTTGTTGGAAATCCGTGCCGACAAGCGTAGAAATATTACAGCGCTACTTTCTCCGTGAAAATCGATAGTAGACACGTAGTGTGACTTTGACCTTCGTTTCAATCAATATTATTAAGCAGGTGCTGGTGAAATAAACCACACTGTAATTCTAGTACAACTTAATTAATCTACATCGAATCGTTCTATCACTATAGTGTGTATTCTCTTTCGGGTACTCTTATAGAGAATATCACATGGATTAGCACGTTCCGCAAGATCAGCGTTCACGTGTAGTGCGGTATTGTTTTAGAAAATTAGAAACCGTGGTTCGGACAGCTTCAGTACTTTAAGGTGCACGATCAGCCCAAAAAAGCATTGACCTACCATATCAAATCTAGTGACCACTGTTGACGTAGATAATTGAAAAACAATAGAATATTCACCTACAGGCTTCCTATTCAAGTCAATCTGAAAAGAAGTATACTAATGGTATTTTTGTAGTGCAAATAAGTATATATTTTTTTTCGACGCAATATCACTCACCCGTATATCTAGTAAATGGGAAAAGAGCCTACTGTTCTTCTATAAAGCTTAATACCGTAACAGCGATACCTCAGTTGTGGCACCACTGGTGGGATCCCGTCAACATGATCAGTAAAGTATTGTTTTCACTAAATGGAGTCTAAGTCGAACGCCTATTGTTATCGCGATAAATGAATGAATGAATGACCTTCATTTTTTGCATAATTGCAGATTTGGTAATACCTGCACCAATAGCCACGAAGGCTAGTTTCTAGTCCAGCGTTAAAAATATAAATAACAGGTAACGTGCATGATTACTCGCATGGTACTGTAGCATATGTCATGGCTTATAAAAACAATAGCCTTTGTGAAATACACTTAAGAGACGGAAGTACGTGAGATGTGCAGGATCTCCGAAAAATATTTGCAACATTGGTTAATAATTCCTGTGGTCTCACCATCTAAGCTATTTAATATTTCAGGTTTTGTACCATTGAGTCATTCATAAATGCTTTTTCACCATGTACTTTACAAAATTTCGGCACGTTAACGTTACCTTTTGGAGCATGCCAAGGACTGGGTATTAGAAACGAAAAAAAACGAAAAAAAGAATACAAAACTATTGTTATATTTCTCGTATTTTTAATTCGGTTAAGTAATTTTGTTTCTCTGTATGCAAGAGCCATTAGTTCCCTCGGCCAAATGGAATGATGCAAAAGACTAAGCAGTCGCTCTCCTTTATGAGTCACAGTTGCTCTCCATTAGCTGCGCATTAACAATAACCATAATGCAGGCAGTGCACCAAATGCTCGCGAAAACACTGCTCAAATGTTCAACGCATTCGACACAACTACGGCATATGTAAACAAAATTGTGTGGAACAAACGCAAAGTGAATAATATTTCTACGAGTACCTACTGATTGCTGGGGTTGCTGTGTCTTCGTACCCATCAACTGAAAAGGGAAATGCATTTCATGAAAAGGACAACAACACTGTTCTGCTAATTTATATCAACATTTCGTTCACACATGCTACAAAACAACTTTAATTACAACCTTAGCGATGCACATACCACGCGGCGATGACTGCGCAAAGGCACACTATTCACTCCACATTGAAGTAAGCAATATCGCCTGTGGTAAAGACCACAAGCTGAAATACAGCCAGAAAATGTGGCATATGCGTAATAAATAAGCTTATTTTTAGCCATTCGCACTCAACTTTGAACTCTGTATCAAAGGCATCAATAATATGCAACATCATGGCCAGGATTTAGAGACATTTGCACGAAGCGCCATTTCTCGTCGGTGACAGTGGCGGCCAGCCGTAACTGAATGGGACATGGGCGCGAAAATACTTTTTTGACGAAACAAGCTAGTTATCAAAAATGACTCCCAGTTCCATACAGCAGAGACGTAATTAAGCATTTTGTTAAAAGAGTTTCACACAAAAAAACCGCTTGCCTTCCCAAAGTGTTCAATATTTTACATACGGGTCCCATGTATTTCCAATGAGTCATGTTCTATTCTCCTGGGAAGCCACAAGCTTCGTAGTGCGATACTTAAATTTCACCAAAATGTTCCAATACGTATCTGCTGTATAGATCCTGGAGCAGTTTTAATAAGTAGCTTATTTGAATATATATAACTTTTTTCGCCTATTTTCTATTCTGTTATGGCAGGACGCCGTTGCTGCCACCGAGAGATGGTGCCACACTCCGATGTCTGCAAATACTCGGAATGTTCATCTTTAAACATTACAACGTTTCCCACAATGCAAGAAAACAGTAAGACGTTTGTGGGAACAAATATTTCAGGTGTACTTCTCGCGGAACTTCAGAGACTACACACGTATTGCAAGATATGTCGTGGTTGTGACAGTGAAGAAGTCAAAATTTTGCACCGATTATTCGCCAGATGGCGCCATGGTGCATTACAACGCCGGCAGGCTCTGGCACAGATCGAACGGTGTGGAGCCGAGTTGAAACTTGTATATTGCAACAATGTTCAGTGGGAGTAATACTGCAAGACGAGGTAGTTTGTACGAATGAATAATAACCGGCAGTGGGTCAGAGAATTTATATAGTTTTTCCTTTTCTCAATAAAACCTTCAGTTGATAGTAGCACAGGTGCCGTTACCTCCTTTTGTAAGTGTGCCAGAGCTCTAAAAATAAGGTATTATGAATGTTCAGTTCAAAGCAGGTTCATGCCAGCTAAGTGAGCCACCAGGCCTGCGTCGCGTCGGCTGTCAGGCCTGCGTGCCACACATGCATATGCTTCTCCGACCAATCTGCCTTGACAGAAGTGATTTAATGATTACGAATAGGCTTAGTTACGGGATACTCAGCCATTTTCACAGTGAAGCTCTTCATGCGGACCGTGTGCCATCAGCAACGCTTGCGTGTTCACACACAGAAAGGTAACGTGACCAGACTGGAGTCGAAGAATTCTGGGTAGAGAAGGAGAGGAAATGGTGGCCATGGTACGAAGCTTTCCTAAGGCCGATTTATTTAAAGAGTGGTCTGACATAGTGGCCACATGTTGGAGCTTTACGCAAGGCGCGCTTTTAAACAGTGCATTGGTTAGAGAGCTCAGTGCTGTAGCCAGTCAAATGTCCGATGGGAACCTTCTGAAAATAATTCCTGTCCTTGATTCTATTCAATTCATGTTACACTCTTAGCAATACTTCCCTACTTGCATCACATTGAGTTTTGCAAATTAATTTTTCACTGTCTTGATTTATGCAAGACAATGAGAAATGGCTCTAACTGAAAGTGTTAGATGAAAGCTTATTACTCGGAGCAGACGTGGCGGCCGTGCGATTGTTTCACAGTCTGATCGACTCACCGAGGAAGGAATCGGCGTCTGGTGTACCGTCCTTAAAGATGATTTTCGATATCTTGTGAGCTGCCCTATCGGATGAAGACCTTTCCTGGCTCGTGAGAGGCTCTATTCGATGCGTGTAATTTAGAAGACCCGTCTGTACAAACAACACACCTTGCGTTAATAAATTTCACACTTGCGAGCAGGTGTGCAGAAGGTTGAAAAACAAGGCTGTGCTTACTACGTGATAGTGACCATCGCTCCGTGGTTTTACAATCAGCGAGGCTTCTTTGCGGGTGTCCTGATACAGATGTCTTTCGTAAAAGTGTCCATCAACCTTAAATGATGATTTCGTGTTTTAAAATTACCTATACTTCTCTAGTACAAAAAATAACATAGACAACACTAAATATTTTCTAGCTTACAATAGCTATTTCTGAGGTGGACAGTGGTAAAGAAAGGCACATAGTGTTACTAGACGAGAAGGAGGGTGATTAGGCTAACAAACGGTAATGGTAACCGTATCGGCTTTGTGAATCTTGGTGTCGTAAATTTGGCACAGTCTACAGCATCCTAATAAGAGCATGAGATCAAATTGTATTTGTTTAATGGCATACATAATTAAGACATGTGCCCCATAAAAATTTATTTTATGAAACAGTCTACGAGAGAGATAAAGATGCAAGGAAAGGCAGGGAGGTTAACCAGACGCGCATCCGGTTTGCTACCCTGCACTGGGGAAGGGATAAAGGGGAGAAAAGAGGTTGGAGAGAGATGAGAAGGTACACACAATCACGAGCACACTCGGGGAGCACACACAGTCTACAGGCGGTTGCTCAGGTTTGTTGACTTTAGGTAAAGTAGCAGTGCTTTAGTTGCTTTCTGCGCAACTGAGACAGATGCCCAAGGTCCTAGTATCTTCTGCACACAAAATGGTCCGGGGTCAAGTTGATTCAAAACCATCCGGAGCTGGCATCGCTGTGTGTCGTAGCAAGCGCAGCTGCACAGGACGTGTTCGATGGTCTCTTCAGCTCCGCAGAAGTCGCATGTAGAGGTGTCTGCCATACCAATGCGAAAGGAGTACACCTTTGTAAATGCAACACCCAACCAAAGGCGGCATAATAGTGTCGCATCGGAGCGGGAAAGTTGTGATGGTAGCTTTAGCTTGAGCGAAGGATCCAGTTCATAAAATTGACACCTTGGGAAGCTGGTAGACGACCAGAACGTACGTGTCAGATCTCGAGCTAGCAGGTAAAGTTGTCTTGCTGCATCATTCCTTGATAGAGGAATCGGGACCACATGGGTTCCTTCATGGGCTGAGCGGGCTGCATCATCGGCTAATTGATTTCCGGTAATACCGATATGTCCAGGCAGCCATTGATATATAATATCATGCCCTCGTGCTAGAGCTTCATGATGGCAATGTCTTATTTCTTGTACCAATTGGTCATGACTCCTCCTACGCATGGCAGACTGCAAACTCTGAAGCGCTGCCTTCGAATCACAGAATATGACCCATTTTCCTGGACGTTCTTGAACGAGATATTGTAAAGCAGCCCTTATAGCAGCAAGCTCTGATGCCGTAGATGTAGTCATATGCGACAACTTAAACTTGATTGTCATTGCTGCAGCCGGAATTACAGCGGCACCTGATGAGCTGCTGGACGAGACGGACCCATCAGTGTATATCTGCGTTCGGTCTAAGTACAACTCATGTAATAATAGCAGTGTTGCTTGCTTCAATGCTACTCTGGAGTGATTGCTTTTCTTTTTGATTCCCGGAATTTCTAGACGTACTTGCGGCTGGTCGAGGCACCACAAAGGACATGCCATTCTCGCAGCTGGCGTATAACCTGATGGAATGCTGTTTAGGTGCTTGGCTATGACGTCTGAAAACGTAGCTCGTGGTCTTCCGGAGGGTAGAAGGGTCAAGTGGTGGTCGGGGTCACGGCTAGCATGTCGAATGTGCGCTCTGAGGCAATCCACAACTCTATATGTCCTGACCGGATGGTCTTTGGCAAGCATGATTGTGGCATAAGTAGAAGCGCATCGGGGCAGTCCTAGGCAGATACGCAGTGCCTGACCCTGCAAACTCTCCAATGAATGAGTATTGGATTTGCAAGTGTTAGTCAGTACCGGCAAGCTGTAGCGCAATAGACCCAGAAATAGGGCCCTGTACAGCTGTAGCATGGAGGCCACAGAAGTTCCCCATGCTTTCCCGCACATGAATTTCATTATATGCACAATAGATAGCAGTCTCTTCTTCAAGTATGCACAATGTGGGCTCCACGAAAGACTTCTGTCGATTATTATGCCCAGGAAACGATGCGTCCGTGCATATTTGACACTCTGCCCATTGATGTAAACAGGGTATGGCGTCATTGGTTTGCGTGTAAACGCCATCAACGCGCACTTCACAGTTGATATAGTTAGGCCTTGTTTCTGAAGGTAGGCTGTTGTGAGGGTTGCTGCCCGCTGTATTCGTACACGCACCTGAGGGCGAGTAACTGCAGCACTCCAGAGGCAAATATCATCGGCGTATATGGATAGGCACACCGACTTTGGCAGAACCTTCACCAGACCTATGAGGGCAACATTAAACAATGTGGGGCTTAAAACCCCTCCCTGAGGTACTCCGCAGTAGGTGTAATGTTCAGCAGTTGTACCCTCATATGTTTGCACAAAGAAACCCCTGCCAGTTATATAATCTTTTATCCATTGAAACATTCGTCCACCAATGCCCATTTCTGCGAGAGAAGTGAGGATGGCATCGTGAGCTACATTATCATATGCACCCTTCACGTCAAGAAAGAGTGCCACTGATATGCGCTTGCGACTTTTTTCTTGTTGCACAAATGTCGATAAGTCAAGGACACAGTCGATGGAGGAGCGGCCCCGACGAAAGCCTGCCATGCAAGAAGGGTATTTGTTGTATCGTTCCAAGTACCACTCGAGACGAAATAGAACCATCCTTTCCATCACTTTTCCGAGGCAGCTTGCGAGGGCAATAGGGCGATATGCTGTCAAGTCCAATGGTGATTTTCCCGATTTCAAAAGTGGTATTAATCGACTTATTTTCCATTCTCGGGGAACACTGCCGCTGAGCCAGGAGTTGTTGAAGCATGTTAAAAGTTCTTTTCTGGCTTTTTGTCCAAGGTGTCCCAACGCACTATAAGTAATACCATCAGGACCTGGCGGTGACATGCGCTTAGAAGCGACTAACGCACCTTCCAGTTCTTCCATGGTGAACGGAATGTCCATTTCTGGTAATCGCGTCTCAGGAACGATCACGGCGTCGATGCTCTCGTTCATAATATTCCCGGCAACTCTCGTGCAAAATTTTTCAGCCACCTCGAGTTCTGTTTTTCCATGATGGAGTGCCAAAGCTTTAAAAGGATGCCGTTGTTGCGGAGAGGAGCGAAGACCACGAACTGTTCTCCAGATATATGACAGCGGTTTATGAGGGTCTAGAGATTCGCAGAATGCTTTCCAGCGTTCGCTCTCCAGCTTGTAAATGCGTCGTTGAATCTTTTTCTGGAGCCGCCTTGCTTCCCTCAGATCGTAAATTGATCTTGTGCATCTGTATCGTCGTTCAGCACGCCTTCGTATAGCTCGTAATCTTTCCAGTTCGATGTCAAACTGTGTTATTTTAGACGAAAATGGTAATTTACATTTGGACGCTTGCATAGCTTCCGCTATGGTATTTTCCAGGCTGCAGGCGAGGCCTTCTTGGCAAGCGTCCTCAACACGCGATGTAAGCATCGACCAGTCAGTGCCAATTGCAACACCGGAAGAGAAATTTTTTATGATACCATCGATCGTCACGTAGGCGGGTGTGTGATCACTCCCATGAGTCTCAATATCACAAAACCATTTAACTTTGTGAGAGAAGCACCGTGACACCAATGTCAGGTCAAGGCAACTGCCATACGTGAGACCCCGCAGATATGTGGGGGTACCATGGTTCATGATGGAAAGGTCGTAATCGGAAGCGAATGTAACAATGTTCCGGCCCCTGGCATTCATCCTAGTGCTCCCCCAAAGCATGTGATGGGCGTTGAAGTCACCGGTGATGATCCAAGGCCCATCGGTTCTCATTAGGATGTCTTTTAATCTGTCGCAGTCAAATCGCGATGACGGAGATATATATCCACCAATAAGCGTGAACGAAACTGCATTCTTCTTTACACGAAGACACACGTACTGATTGTCGTCATTTGAACTTATTGGGTGCGAAAGATAAGTCAAGTCTGTGCGAATGTAAACAATTACTTTGCTTCGTTCTTCGCAAGCGGCTGAACAAAAAGCTTCATAACCGGACAATCTATAAGGCGTTGATACGTTTGGTTCACATATGACAAGTATAGGGAATTGATTGGCCCGAACAAATTGGCGAAAGTCCGAGATACGGGACTTCATGCCTCTGGCATTCCACTGAAAAATCGACGCACTTTTAACTTCAGTGCGGAAGATGAGATTTTGTTGAGCCATTGTGCTTATACGACGTTAGCAAGAACTGGATTCAGTGCATCCAGTATTTGCAGTGCACTCTTAGCAGACGGAGATTGTATGCTGCTCAGTAGCGTGCGAATCGTGGCAATTAATGATTGCACGATTGCAGTCACTTGCCTGTCTTGGTTGGAAAGATCTCGAACCGGGATCGCGGACTGGCCGTCATGAAACTCCTTTGGTTCGCTTGATGCTGCTTCCCTTTGAAGTGCAGGCCACTCTGTTGCAGTTAGGGTATGCTCACTGGCTTTGTCCTTTACAGCCTTTCCCACGGCATGTGGTCTGGGAGGCAAAGGAGGTGGTACTGATGAGGGATCTGGCAAACGTGTCGAGGAGGTAGCGGGCTTCCTTGAAGACCGACGTCGACGTGAACGACGCCTTCTGACTTTAGCTGCGGCTTCTCGATGAGATGAGTGGTCGCGCACCATCTCCTTCAAGATGGCAATTTCCTTCTGAATCCGCGGGCAGTCCTTCGATGCGGCTTCATGGGATCCATTGCAATTAGAGCATTTCTTGACAGTTGCGACGCACTTATCCGCTTCATGGGGCTCGGCGCAGCGGTGGCATACCACCGAATTCTCGCAGACGCTGCTCACATGTCCAAGTTTCATGCATTTACGGCACTGGAGAGGCTTTGGAATGAAAGGCCGCACAACATGTCTGAAGTATCCCACCTTCACATGAGAGGGGAGTGATGTGCTCTTAAACGCAATCTTCACACAGCGAGACTTGCCTAGCCGGGTGACATCAACAATTGGAGTATCAGTTGTTGACTTGACAAGAAGTTGTAAGTCCTTATTGGAAATAGCGACATCAATGTCGTAGATCACGCCGGTTACTACATCACATCCCAAGGGAACATGAGAGCGCACCTGGTTGCCGTCCAAGTCAGTTACACTGCGCAGAACGCCCAACGCACTTGCGTGCAAAACGTCCACAGCCAGTATATTCTTTCTGGCGTTCACTCTTATGTCCGTGATCTCATTTGGCACGAGCGTTTCCAGAGACCTCGACACAGACTGTCTGTTAAGGCGTTTCATGCTGACGGTAGGAAGTGCAGGCAGAAACAGGATGGTATAAGTGTTCGATTTTGGCGCTTCACTTACAGTTTGAATAGTTGAGGATGAGGATGTCCTCATGTTCCTCCTCTTCGCTTTGCGGCTCAGCACAGGCTGGAAACCGTCATCTGAAAATTCCTCACTGCTGAGATAGTAAGCATGAGTATCTTCACTGTCGCTGTCACTCGCTTGTCCCATCCGCTTCCTGGAGGCGGCCGCCGCTGACGCCGCTGGTGCCGGCAGGCGCCCGGGGTGGTCTACATCCATCCCCTCCAAGGGGCGCGAACTGAGCATTGGGAATCTTGGTGTCATAAATTTGGCACAATTTACAGCAGTCTAAGAAAAGAATGAGATCAAATGGTATTTGTTTTGTGACATATATAGTTAAGACATGTGTCCCATATAATTTATTTTAATAAAGTGTCTACAAGAGCTATAGAAAAGTTCATCGGCGGAAACGGCACACGACAGATGTAGCAACAGTGCACATTTGTGTAACAGACGTGTTCTATAAAAATGACGTATGCTGCTGTAGTGTAAAGTATAGCATAGGCAACTCTAAATATTTTATAGCTTACAATAGTTACTTCTGTCGTGAAGAATACGGAATTCTTATACAATCGACGCATTATCTCGTCGATTCTCTAAGAAAGACAGGTTCTGTGTCATCGAGCAGATGCCTTTTACTAAGGCCTGCGAGTACTACTTTCTTGGCCATATCATTGTTGTCTCAGAACTCGTAGATGATTATTCATGTGAGAACAACTAATATTACCCGGTGTTTTACGCACCGAAATCAAGATATATAATTTAGAGGCGTGCAACAGTCAAAAGCTTAGGAAATTCAGACCACCTGATTGTCTTTGCGTGTACTGAAATCGAATTACATGACCCTCTGGCATCTTCGCATCCTACTGGAACTCCAATCGCAAGGATGGCACGGGGATTGAAACAGCAACTTTTGGACTAATCGCGAGCTTCATAACCAAATTAACACCACGGTTTCATCACGCCATGCTGAAATACGGTACGTGTTAATGTGCTCGTTAGAGTACAGCGACACTTATGCCATTTCTTACTAAAACGTTTCCTGTGCGATACAGTAACAGGGGCCCTGTATTCGCACGTGTTTACGAAATTAGTACTGAAGTATCGACATACATGTTGAAAATTCTCGTTGTCAAAGCACATCATTAAACATGTTCGGAAATGTTTGAATGTCATGCGGAGCGTTTCAGTAGAAACACAAAAAATTTGCCTGCATACTCACATATCTGTTGATGATACGAGACCCACTATGAACGCGGAGAAGAACATAGTCGGAGAGCACCGAAGCTTTGACTAGATTAAGGGAGTAGCCGTCACCGACAACCAGAACTTTTTCCGAAGCGTCAGTTCTTTGCTCGTACACTTCAGGAAATACTATGCTGCTTGGCCCAGGAAACTCGGTCTCGCTACGTGCGATTGCTACAAACAAGCACGCCAGTAGACGTGCTTGGATCCTGTCAAAGCCCATCATGCCTAGTACTAGCAGAATAAATTCGAAACCTGCGCTGTAACTGACCGCTCTCTACGCGTCGATCGAATGTCTTCGGATCTTGTGCTGAAATGACATGTGTCATGTGTCATTTGCTGCCGGACAGATAGACTGCAGCTGTCCGTATCATGCTGTTTTTTTACCAATGTATGGCCTACAACTAGGCTCCGTCACTTCACTTGACATTATGAACTTGAAAGCATACGTTCAAGTTCGTCGAGAAGCTTCCTATTGAGGTAACCAAAATATAGATGTCACAGGGTCTAATTTGTATTCACTTAGGATGACTAGAAGATGAAACCTATCTGTTTCTTATCAATCGACCTATTGATCCTGCATGATTGACCCTCCGAAGGCTTTCCGCATCCAACGAAGTTTTGCATAAACTGCAACGATGTTTTGCATAGATTGCGAATAGGTTTTCAACGAGGTTTTGCACCAGGATCGGAGGCACTGAAGCCTCTTGCGTCTCACTTGGTCTTGTTCTTCCTGCGTGATCCGGCCACATTGACAAAGTAGCCACATAATGTCGCCACTTTGTCAATGTGGTGACATTATGTGATGACATCATATGACATGAAGGTATGTGGCGTCCTAGTGACGTCACAAGTGTAGCTGATTTAAGACGTCATCGTCACGTCATCACTGTATCTGTATGCATCACTCATGTCGACACCAACGATCGCTTCTCGCATTTTGTTAAGCGTCTACGGCTTTCGCGTCAGTAACAGTGATTTTACGAACTACAGTAGACAAGTACGAATGACTCGGACGTGCAAACAATGCGTTCATAGTTGGGTAGGCCCAGTTCAATTGTTATTTTATTTCATGGCGATGTTGTTCGACGGCTCATCTTTTCGCTATGACAGACAAGGGTAAAAATTTTCGCTATGACAGACAAGGGTAAGACAAGGGTAAGAATAGGGCTGCCCATTATGGAGAATAGGGCTCTCCATTATGTCCAATTACGATCACTCATCAAGCATCACTTTTTATAAAGGAGTCTTTAGACTTGCAGAATCTAGCTGACAGACGTATACTTTCTCGACTTTGTTTATTTCACAAATTATACTATTATTTTCCTCACTTGCATGGTTCTCTCTTGCTTTCTCCCGCCCGCTATTCTCGCCGGCTATTTAATTCCAGAAGCCTCCAACGTCTTTTCGGTACGACCGTTGCATTCAATAAGTCATTTCTTCCTGTCGCCATCGAGGAATGGAATAACTTACCGGAAGCCATCGTCTCAGGGCGTGACTCGTGCGCATTCAAACAACTACTAACAGCTCACTTAAACTTGGAAGCCCATTAAAACTCTACCACTGTCACTGTATTTGCGCTTTTGTATGTGTAAATTTTGTGCACGCATGTTTTTATACTTGTATAAGTACATTTTCTGTGCGTCTGTTCTCGGATCCTGCAAAAGTATTGCTCGTGTGTTTGTACAACTTTCTATTTTTTTCCTTGATTTTGTATTTAGAAAAATGTCCCCCCCCCCTTATGTAATGCCCCTAAGGGGCCCTTAAGGGTCAAATAAATGATGAAATGATGATGAATTGTTTATTTTTCCGTTTTTCATTTTCAACTATAAATTTATTTCCTTGTTTAAATAAGTAAGAGGTTCTGAATTCAACATTACTTGAGGGACTTGTAGATCGGAATCAAAGCGTTGTAGAACATGTGTAAGTAAATGCACAGACAAGTAACTTGGCCAAGTGAATGGAAACTTCAAATCTATGTAACGTACTAAACATGTTGGGTTGTCCGCCTCGGTGAAACAGTGGATACGGTGCTCGGTTGTTGACCCAAGGGTCGCGGGCTCGATTCCAGCAGCAGCGGTCGCGGAGACCAAATAGCATAGGCCCAGGTACTGTGCGATGTCATTGGATGTTACAAAATTAGGTCGCGGAATACCAACGCCATGGCGTGGTGGTGGTATTCTGTAACTGCCGTCCGTCCGTCCGTCCGTCCGTCCGTCCGTCCGTCCGTCCGTCCATCCATCCATCCATCCATCCATCCATCCATCCATCCATCCATCCATCCATCCGTCCGTCCGTCCGTCCGTCCGTCCGTCCGTCCGTCCGTCCATCCGTCCGTCCGTCCGTCCGTCCGTCCGTCCGTCCGTCCATCCATCCATCCATCCATCCATCCATCCATCCATCCATCCATCCAACCATCCATCCATCCATCCATCCATCCATCCATCCATCCATCCATCCATCCATCCATCCATCCATCCATCCATCCATCCATCCATCCATCCATCCCGACGGACGAACGGATGGAAGCAAGGACGGACGAATGGAAGCAAGAAAGAATAGACGGACGGACGCTTCACACCATTGATCATAATTCACTCCGTGGTTATGGTGCGATTATTTTATTTTTTTATTTGGTATGAGCACATAGAGAACACGAAGACAGAGAAAATAGGGAGGGAAAGGGCTGACAACTGCCACCTATAGGGGCACAAGGCTGCCTGCTCCTTCGGGAAGGGGAGGCAGAGAGGAAATAAGGGAAGGAAGAAGGAGAGAGAAGAGGAAAGTTAAAAAAAAAGGGAGGGGGGGTAGGGTAAACACGCACACTCAAAGAAAAATTAAGTAGTCGCATGAAAAACGGCTATAAAGGTAATGAACAGACATTCCACTGCAGCACGAAGGGGCGGGGATTTCGACTGTTCATACTGTGAAGGCCGTCGAGAACTGGGACGAGCGCCTCCAAAAGCTGTTTTGCGGCTTTAGTGTTGCTGGTGTCTGGTGACCGGGAATCAGTGATCTAACAAGATTGATCAGCATCTTAAGTAGGTTGATGAGCTGGGCATCGTCTTCGACAGAGTCCGTTTTGTTTGCAGTCTTTTCCACTGTAGGCGGGGCTTTAGTAGAAGCTGCTTCGACGCTATGCGAGAAGCAATCTTTTCAGAGACCGCCTTGGACATTTTCTGTGGAACCGCCGGCCACGATGTTGCCGAGAGGGAGAAGTTCCGCTTCTGCTTTCCCTCTGAGGTACGTTTTTAGTACTATACTTCGAAAGTGTAGGTACATTAGTTTTGCCTTCTCCAGCGGATAGACGCGTACTGCGGTTGATAGACACTTTTTCTAAACACACACTTATCTCCTATAAGGAGATATATTCGTATGTATTCACGGTTCTTTGTCATTTTTTACTCATATTAAAGCAATGCCTTCCTCGACATCAAGCCTCCCTAAAGCAAGTTTGAGAACAATTCCCGAGCAGCGGCGTGGTTCAGTGGTAGAATACAAGGCTTGCACGCAGTGGACCCGGTCGAACCCCACTGTATTTTTAGTACTAGGGTATTTTTTTTCTTATTTCTTGGGATAGTGGTTACGGACACTAGTGGCGTGTGGCAGCGGACCACAAGGGCGCCACGCGTGACCCCAGTTGTGATCTCATTACAGCTTTCGCTGTAAAAGTTTAAGGCTTTGGTGTGTACCCACTTTCAAATCACAAGAAATAATGCAGCGCCAGTCTGACAATACACACGAGACACGTTGAAACGGCGAAAGAGATAGCTATAGCTTTGGCCGTATCACGAACTGACGCGCGATATATAATCAGCAATTCACAAGCAGCTGCACGCAACTTTGCAAATGGCAGAATCTCCCCTGAAGCACTGCGTATTTTAAGAACAGGCAAAACCAACCGAGACGACAGATGCGTTTGCATTTTCTGTTTCCCAGCTCACATTCCCGACATCACGGGAAATATCAACCCTAACGAGGTGGCGTACAACGTAGCTCGAGGACCTACTTTCCGGGCTACGACAAATGTTGATCCCTCGTCAGAATTTCTAAATGTGTGAGAGCGGGAGGACCTAAAGACAACATTCGATGAAATTACGAAATATAAATTACAGAGGCGTGTTTACTTACCTCCTCACCATAAACTCAACAGGACACAGTCTGTTCAATGGCGACAATACAAACCAGATCCTACAAGAATCCAGTGTTACTACATGCTATGTATCCAGAGATCTACGCGACCACTCAATGCGAAAATTGTCAGGCACGAGCTTCCTTAGAACATATACTATGGGAATGCCAGGGATTATAACATAGCAATGAGAACGCGGCCTCCACCGACAGCCTTCGCGCGCGTTGGCTGGCCGTGCTGCTCAGATCAGCTCTGGACGATCAGCTATGGGCAATCCAGCGGGCCGAGGAAGCCGCTAGGAGGCAAGACCTTCTAGCCGAGACCTAGGCAGGAGCCCAGCCCACTAACGCGCCGGATACAAAATAAAGTTTATTCCATCCATCCACCCATCCACTTTGAGGCGGTACGATTATTTAGGAGGCGAAATACTCCGTGCATGCCGGTTGAATTCTGTTCAGAAGCGTTGGCGGCCACCCCACCGCGGAGCCCAATGAGGGGACGCTACATGTTAGCGGATACTGAAACCTTCCAGATGTTAGCCGTACAAGGCTACTACAACCAAAGGCGTTTAGACCAAGGCTACTTGCACAGGGTTAACCCTAGCGGTCAGGAAATTCGAAAATATATGGAAGTGAGGGAAAGACAGGACAGATAAATAGTGAAAGACCAAGATGTAGGGAGAGAGACAGAGAGAGAGAGAGGAAAAGGTGACTGGCGATTTCCTTTAGTGGGTCAGTCCAGGGGTGCCGTCTACGTGAAGCTGGGGCCAAAGGTGTGTGTTGCTATTGTCGGGGGGGAGGGGGGGCGTTGAAGGTCCAAGCACCCAGCGTCGGCGCAACACCCTGGATTTTCTTTTCCCGGACACGGCTAAGCAACGCATGGTGAGGTATGGGAGGGAGTAGAAACCCCCCGTTGGCTCGAGTCCGGGGTGGAGCCACTTACCAAATGCGGGAAGCGTTGATTAAGGAGATAGCCGCAGTAAAGTATCACCGAAGGAAATGTATGCGTCGCTTTGCGATAAAACTGTCTCGCAGTGTTCACGCTGTTTATTTCTTACCGTTACTCACCCATATTTGCGAAGCTTGCCCACTGTGTAATCATGTTTTAGGTACGTCGGTGTCTTGTATATCACTAAAATATTTTTACAGAAAGTGAACGCGTACCTCACTTTTTAGCAAAAAACAAACAACCAGCATTTAATACCAGCATGACCATGGTCCTCCCTGTCAGCGGTTCACCACTCAACGAAGATTGTTACTTTTTTTATTTTCTCAAAATATGAACGTATTGTGAGCCGTGTGTGTGCGCCAGACTGATTTCCTTTTATACGCAGACGCCGTTCTTGCACTTCTGAAAAAAAAATATGACAACACATGTTGCTTAATGATATGTTTGGTCGTTTTTAAGACGTTTAGACCGTCTCTATGTTTGTAGTTCGAGGCGCTTATGAATGTCCGCAATATAAGAACACTGTTACGTATACCTGCATGAAAGATACTTCAGCAGTAAAATATGTCACAAAAGCTTTCGAAGAGGTCAGTGAGTCAGTAAAGCATGACAGAAAACTCAGGCTTATGACAAATTCAAAGCTACATATGCAGGTATACATTTACTAGAAATATACCAGATACTATGCCCACTAAACATTGGTTTGTTTGTTTTTTAAAGTCCCTGAAGTCCCCTTTCTTACGAATGGGATGACATTGGCAGTCTCTGGTACCCTACCTGTCAAAAGACACTTCGTATACAAGGTGGGCAGTTTTTTTATACACAATATCTCCGCCATTTCTTAACAGGTCTAATGTTACCTCATGATGCATGCAAATCTACTGAGACGTTATCCAATTGCCGCAAGTTCAGAGAGTCGCCCGATAAGGCGGTTCGCGCTCCGTAGAGAAGAAGGTAAAACTTAATTCGACCAAGCAATTCGGACACGTACAGAAGTAAAGTAGTAAATTAGGCTATTTAGAACGTACTAATCACGATCAGCGGACGAAAAGGACAACACTAGAAAGTGCATGACACGAGCGCTGCGTCGTGTATATTCTTGTGTTTTCTCTTTTTGTGCGCTGATCAGTGCAGAGTGGCACATGTACAGGCTGCGACAAAAAGTACCACGCCACGCTGCAATACAAATACACTGCGATAGTAGCCTGGAAACTTTTGACGGCTTTTGTAAGCACCAGGGTATCCGCACGACTCAACTGCTCTATCCGTTATGAGTTCATGTATCTCCATGACGCGGACGGCCCGATCAGTTGCCATCGGTAGCAAGCGCTGGAAGATTCGTTTGAAGTGATGGCTGGCGTACGTCTTGCAATATCTGACGCGTCAGGCGCTATTAGCGCGTGAACCGACGAGTCGGTGGCGAAGCGAGCGGCGGTAGCAGCAGGTGCTGCGGGCGAACGAACGAGGTGGCAGCTGCGGGCGGTGAGAGGGAGAGTGACGTCAGCGCGCAGCTGCGGCATGACCTATTTGACACAGCTCCAACACTTGCGGTGAGGGGAAGTGTTGCGGCGTGTTCGTGCGAACGCATGGAGGGACAGCGTTACACAGGCCAGTCAAAGAGCTGCTTCGCATCTAAAAATTCTTGCTATACAACGCGCCCGCACCCACTTCCGGTGTGAAACTACAAAATCTTTAAGGGGGAGGCTTTGATTATAAAAAGAAGGGGAAGTGAAGAGCGCATTGAGGTTCCGGTGATTATTATGTGATAGTTGCATCTATTTTGCTCTTCTAGCTTTAAATAAGGTTTGGTGCGCAGTGCAGAAAAATGTTGTAAGGCTGCCTAATGTATCAAAAAGCGCGCTGTTTAGAAGAGTTACTTTAACAAGAGTGGAAGAATAACCATGTGCCTTCTCATCATCATGGGAGGTAGGCGTGGATGATAGCTGAATGTGAAAAGTCCTTTCCGTGAGGATAATGAAGACCTGAAGGCATAAATTGGTGCTCATGCGGGGCTTTTTGTTCTTGCTAAATAAATACTCGCTGTAGACAACAACTTCCTGGTTCTTTGAGATGAAGCGGAGTCATGCAGGCGGCCTGCCGTAGCGAGACTATGTGTAGTGTCAGCAGCGCTGCCACTCCTATATCTCATACTTATCTTTTCGTGTTTTTTTCCTCCACCAAACAGACTTCGACTGAGCGCTTGAAATGCTGGCGGCGTGCCAGTTCAGCTTAATTTGATTCGCAGACAAGTGCACTGCTCGTCTTATGTCAGCGAGTCACTTCGTACGGGACCTGTCACCAAGGGACACCGCGTTCTTCACATGGTCGATAAAAGGTCACAGACGTTCGCAGGCTCCGCAAGCTGGTTCTAATCTCCTAACACATCGGTGTTTTATTGTTTTATCATTTGACTCCCTTCATTGTGGCTTTGAGTCGTGCTCCAATTGTTGGTCGCAAAAATAGTTTCCCATTCAACAATTGTAGTTTTTGGTTCACTAGGTATTACGGCTAGGTGGCATTAGCCGCCGCCCGATCTCAAGGGTCCGTCCGTCCGTCCGTCCGTCCGTCCGTCCGTCCATCCATCCATCCATCCATCCATCCATCCATCCATCCATCCATCCATCCATCCATCCGTCCATCCATTCATCCGTCCGTCCGTCCATCCATCCATCCTCTAGGGAGCCTGCATGACCACATGGGGACATTTGCTCCCTAGTGATCTCCGCGGAGCTCCCGCGTGTGCGGAAAAAGTGTAGGGAAGGGTAAGTGCAGTGCTTAGCCACTCCTTCTCTCGCCATTCGTTTTCTCTCCTGCTTCTGCTTACTCTCCAGTCTTCTCGCTCGTATGTATAGACCCTTTCACTGTTTTAAAACACAGCTCTTGATGACATGCGGTTTCGTCTACCGATGTACTTTAATGGCATCGATAGGTAAGAAGAGCTTCAGAAAACAGCCCGCTGATTTTTTACACTTTTTTCCTCTATTTCGTAAAATATATTCTAATAAACTTTTTCCTTTTATCTGAAATGCTAAACATAGATATTCCTAAATTTAAGGTAACTTAAAAGGTGCTTTCAGTTTTGACGTTAAGGAGCGGGTAAATGAGCTGACCGGAAGTTTTATGGAGTACAAGACTCGCAATCTTGAAACCATGTATGTATAGATGGAGGAAAACGCGTGCCTCACTCTCGACGGTTCAGCTGTCTGATGATGTGTAAATGTGTCTGATGATGATGATGTGTCTGATGATGTGAAGAGTTACGGTACAAATGCTGATGTCGTCATCAGTTTACGCTACTAAAATTAGCATGACGTGTACTCTCAGCATTTCTTGAGTGGAGGTACCTTGCACAGACTGAATCTTGCGATCGCATTTGTTACCGCTCATGCAGTGCGATCACTTTTACGTATCGTGAAACTCATTACAGTGTACTTTTGTGTTCCTTTCTTTGATTCGGTAAGGCGCATTAGGACAGCAGCTTTCCCAGGGATGCTTGCTTTCCCTTCGATGCCCCTAACACTGTCGGCTACTGACCCTACGCTTTTTGTGGCACCTTTGGCTTTCTGACTCCATTTGGGAATTCACCCAAACGGAGCTAGAAATACGGAGATTAGACATATCGTGTACTACCCATCATTACCGTGCCCGATAAAGCGCCATGCGTCGCAGCTCCCACTAGACACTAGCGGTACAGGTCCATGTTGTGTATTTGTAGAAAAATATGCCTTAAGTGGTTCACACACAAAAAATTTGCTAGCATGCCCCTGCTGTCTGACACTGCGCGAATGACACTGGCCTTTAAAATTTCTTCACCGTAACAAATGGCTACACCCTAAATGGCCATGAAGGAACAAATTTTTTCCACATAGCTGAAACGGGCCATACCGTTCTGAAATTACAAGCTTGTTGGCCCGATATGAATGTTACTGTATAATCCAGCCATGTGTGAGTGTCATGTGAAAGCAGGTAGTGACTATGTTTTGGCCAATGACAATATATGATTGTCTATACTAGGTACTTCATACTATGGGGGCCTTATGGAAATTATTTTTTTATTATCTGCAGTCGTTAACACTATAACTTTCATTGTGTGATGGTCCGGATCGGGACCCAGCGCAATTTTATTTTGTTTTTTCTTTTGTTTTAGGGCCGAAGCTCTTTACAGTCTAACCTTGTGACAAGTCACGCCTAATCGAGAAAAAAAAAAGAGACGAGAAATAAAAAAGGCAAAAGAAATGCTTGACAATTTCTCGCCTCATTTCTTAGATGGCATTACTCTGCCGCTACTTTCCGATTGCCGGCTGCGCATGCTTTGCCAACGAGTACTTTTCTCAGTCTCCTAGATAGTCACCGTACGTGGCGCATCGTTGATGGAGCATGGACGGAGCAGATCGGCAGGTGCGTTCAAGGCGCTAGCGCTCGGCTTCCTTGGCTCGTGTCTCGTCGGTGTTACCCGCGCCGTCTGCATTCTCGAACGCGATTGGATGCATGAACGCATGTATGGTCGGATGGACACATGGGCGGAAGGATGGACGGACGCTTCACCCCACTCATCATCATTCACTCTATGGACATGCTGTGATTTTTTATGGCTATGATCGTCTTATGAATGATATATAGGAAAGGAATGTTTTCTAGTTCCGTCCGCACAGAAGTATTTTGGCGATAAAAAAAGGAAGTAAACAAATACCTTCTCGGAGTGAGTTCCGTCACAGTGTGTCCCGTCGAATGCAAATCTGATTGCGTAGATTGGACTTCCATCTTTTCTTTCACCCAATTTGCACCGAAACTTGCATTTCGAGAGGTCAGAGGCCCACTGCAGCATGAAATAAAGGTACAAATTGACAATTTTTAAAGAGTTGCTATATAAACAAAGTAAGTAGCTATGTCTTTTGGAAACATATAGTCGAGTGGGGCTTTACTGCTACTTCCTGCACCAATACGTACCTTAAATAGTTAATTGCAGCCTGTGCTGCTATAAACGTGGTACTCTTTGAAGAAATAAAAAGAAAGATGTCTTAAGATAGCGCAGATAGAATGGTCAGGTCGTCGAAACGCTTCTACGCAGAGAACACTCCAAAAAGGAAAAAAAAACAGGTGTGCTCCTTCTTTTGGGCAGTAATGACTTGCCACGTATATGACGATTTCGTAAGAAAAAAATCACATTTACTCCTTTGTGGGTCACACGACTCTCAAAACGGAGTAAATCATCCGAAAATACAATGGACGTACTCTTTTAAAGACTGCGGCGTGAAAACCCAGAACGTCTAAAAAAGGCTTTTCCTTAGCAGTGTACGTCGCCTCGCAATGTGAGTTTATTAGAAAAAGCTCACCCTCGAATTCAAAATGATCAGCTCCTCCAGTTTGTCACCGAGTCAGCCAGTAGGCATCACCGCCACGGAGCTGTACACAGGGGATTTCTGAAAGGATTTCTCATTTTCCTAAGAACCGACTGACCAATGTTCAACTTCTGTTCACATGGAACCCTTCTCCACTTCAGTCCTCAAGGTTCTCACTTGAGTATTTGCTATACCACCAAGATCTGCACCAGCGGCGGCTCCAGGCGGGCTCGTGCCCGACACCTTCAACGCACTCCGCTGCGGCCCTCCTACTCGTCGCAGCTTAGCACCCCCACATTTCGTGCTTTTCTGCCGCGGACGGCCGGGGATAGACGCGATGCTAGAGCCCCATTCATTTTCGGGGCTAGTTGCTTCGGCAGGTGAGTTGTTACACACTCCATAGCAGATTACGACTTCCATGGCTACCGTCCTGCTGTCTTAAGCAACCTACACACTTCATGGGTTCTCATGAGCGACTTGGGCGCCTTACCCCGGCGTTTGGTTCATCCGACAGCGCCAGTTCTGCTTACCAAAAGTGGCCCACTTGGCACTCTCATCGCAAAAAAGTGCGAGGCTTGATTGCACTCACGCATAAAAGTTTGTATTGTGCTCACAATATATTCGTTAACAACAGCATGCTACCGTTAGCTTATGAAATAACGTAACTGGGAACTCTGGGGCTCTGCGATTAAACAGTTATTGCTTTACGCTGTGGGACTTAGTTGTGGAATACGGTCATGAGATATTGGCACACAAAGTAGCGAAAAGTGTACCACAGATGCGTGTACAACGTATAACACCGCGATAGAAAATATGCGAAGAAGCATGGAGACATGAATATGTACTCGCAGTGTATGATTGACTTTACCATCTCAAAACACCATTTGGTGACTTCTATGAGGCAGGCAAACCATGCTCTGTTCTGTTCTGTTTTAACTGTTTTGCTGTGGAGAGGTTGAGGTGCCTATTGCCTCGGCTACTCCATATCACAAAGTTCTGCAGCGAAAAATAAAATAATAATACAGAACGGTACCCAAAAATTAACAATACGAAAAAAAAACACATAATAGGACACTGAAACCAGTTCAAATAACATGCCAATACACAGTTTTCTTCACGCAATTCACACAGTCATAAACTACTTACACGCACACCTTACTACTCTAGTGTCAGTATATACATGAACACATTTTTTATATACCCATCTCTGGCTGTCTGTCATAGGCGCTTGTCCAGTCTGGTCTCCACTAAAAAGTATGTCAAGAAGATTATTGCCTTTTTCTGGAGATGCATCTCAGGCCATGGTCCAAGTAGTTTCTTTATTGTGAGGGGCCGTCTGTCCAAACTTACTAATTTGTTCTTTAATTTTGCTCTTTCATTCGCGTATTTGACGCACTCCAAAAGAATATGGCGAACATTTTCTTCTGCATGACCTCAATGGCATTCCGGTGAGTTGGATCGATGTATCTTGTGCAGGAAGCTGTTTGTGTATGCTATTTCCAATCTAAATCGGTGGATTAATGTCTCTAGGTGTCGTGGGAGGTCTGTCGCTATGGAAAATTTTCTGTGTGGATCAACTTCATAAAGTACCATTTCCTTTGATTTAGGGCTCTCAAACCACTTCTGCATCGAACAATGGTTAGCTCCTTGCGATATAAAATGTCGAATATCCGCCCAAGACATAGGGATTGCGCAATACCGTCCTTCCTTCAATGCTTTCTTCGCGAGGCTATCAGCATCTCCATTTCCCTTTATTCCAATGTGGCTGGGTATCCATTGGAATACGATGTTGTGACCCTTAGATGAGGCATATTCCACAGTTTCTGCAATACATTGTGCTATTTCACCATTTTTGTAAGGTGATCTCACATTTCTGATTAGCTGAAGAGCAGGTTTGCTATCAGTGCATATCACCCATTTTCGTGGCTCAGGAATTTCGCAGATAAGCTTAACTGCTTCGAAGATAGCCACCAATTCTGCTGTCGTCGATGAAGATTTGTGCGATAATTTGTACATCTTCTTTTTCTGAATTTCGGCAAACCATGCTCATTCAATGGGATACGACGAGACAAGGTGGCATTAACCGATGCTATCAGTGTTTAGATAAGCGAAAAAAAATCTTTAATACAAAAAATCCCTAGACTAATTTAACTAAAGGACCTTATTAGTTTAGACAGCGTTGTTCCATGATATCGAGCATTCACACAATGCTTTTAAGGTGAACGCAATGGAGATTGCATGCTTATGCTCAGGAACCTCGAAGTGGCATGGTAGAGAAGGAAAGGTAGGAAGGTCTAAATCAGCCCAGGATAACAGGTTTGCTACCCTACACGTGGGAAAGGGTAATTGAAAGGAAAGAGAGGAATGGGAAAGACAGATAGAACATCACACAGCACGAGCACAAGCACATAGTCAGTAAGAGTCTACTCATCTGACGAAGATTGAAATGTTTAAAAAAATAAATGTGTGAGCATGCGAGTTGGACGATGAGTAAGACTTGCATCAGACGTATTCATGAAGCCAGAGAAACTTTGCAACTGCGCAATTAGTGAACTTCAATAGACTGACGCGTGCATATTTTCATTTGTTATATCTAGTAAACAGAAATTGTTATATTTAATTCTAACTGCTTTCAATGGTGAGCCACGGCAACAGAAATTCTTATCTAAAGCGAAGAACAGCATTTAGTGAAATCTAATGAATTTTCTGAACAATCTCATTAGATGGCGCCTATAACAACTGCAGCACTTCGCGGGGAAGCCTTCAAAGAACGTGATGCGCAATACTAGAGGATTATTGGTAAAACAGCAATATAATGAATAAAAAGATTCAGCAGATCTCAAGCCTTGTCGGAGTTTATTTCATGCGCAGCAGTCGGCGAGTGAAATCCAGCCGTGTACGTCGTCTACGCCAACGCCGCATTATTTTGCTTTGAGTCACACGTCACTTGGTTAATCCACGCGTATTTATAGGAGTTGTGCGAACATCGCTGGCTTTCTAGGATCGTCGACTACAATGGCGTTTGAAAGGTACTGAATGGTCTGACGCAACATCAATACTGACGTTAGAACATGGTATTATGGAAATAAAGGGCACTGCACGGTACGACGAAGCAAATATCATACGCGACTTTTTTAGCGTATTGCTCTGGGGTTGAGCAAAGCTTCAATATAGGGTGCTGAATCTTTCGAACCCAATTTAACCTTTATTAACTAATATTGAAGTAGGGCCAGCATTGGGACCACAATTGACGTTAGCCCAACATATTGCCTGTATCATGGGAGTAAGCATGCAACGTTTAATGCATTGTAATAAAAATAAACAGCTAACAATAGAACCACAATTTACTTTGTTCGACATAACGCCTGCACAGAGTTTTTTATAAACCATTTTGATGTCTTGGTGTGGCTTTGTGGCAGAATACCTTACTTTCAGGCAGATTGTTTGGGTTCGATTCCTGCTGCGATTCTGAGTTCTATTCTTTGCATTCGGTAGGGCAACACTGCTGATATTGGTGTTGCTTGACGCTCTCACATTTAAATTAACAATGCCTGTTCTTGGAATTCTGGGTAGATAGAAATTGTCAATCACATGAGGCGCATACGGAGGCACGTGTTACACTGGTATGCACCACACTTGTCTGTAGACGTAAGAGACTGAATTATGACATTAGTAATGTCCTGACTAGGCTGTCATATTCGCCGAACCCTCCTTGTCCTCCCATGCCAATGGAGGGCTACACCAAGTTGAGAAGGTGTATAACACACACACACACACGCGCGCACGCACACACACACACACACACACACACACACACACACACACACACACACACACACACACACACACACACACACACACACACACACACACACACACACACACACACACACACACACACTTTTCTTCCTTCAAATTTACATTACATTTTGGTCTAATAACTTCCCCAATACACTCCTTAGCATTATTGTCTGTTAGATCTCATTATTATGGTGTCTAAACACGGAAAAACGAGCCCTTAAGTATACACTTCTTTCCCCTATTCATTAACGAGGGCCTCGTACTGGCAGACTTGGTGCCGTTAGGTTGTATACGAGGATCTATTGGTCAGCTGCCCGCTCGTATAAGTTCACGTTCTACGTGATGCCAAACAGGCTCATAAAGAGTGTGGCTACAGGTGACGCTGACTTACACTCCCATGTTTAAAATTCACGTATAAACCCAATAAAATGGCTGGGGGAGGGGGAAGATAGCCGCCGTGGTAGCTCAGTGCTAGAGCATGGAATGTGCTAACCGAAGGTCGCAGGTTCGGTTCCTGCTCACGGCAAGCTATCTTTTCACCCGATTTTCTTCCGTCACATTTGCATTACAATTTGGTCTCATAACTTCCCCAATATATTTGTTGGCATAATTGCCTGTTAAATCAATCTAATATATATATATATATATATATATATATATATATATATATATATATATATATAGAGAGAGAGAGAGAGAGAGAGAGAGAAAGAGTGAGTGAATTAATAGATAGATAGATAGATAGATAGATAGATAGATAGATAGATAGATAGATAGCAACACTCAAAGATCCTTTGGTTCACTGAAAATATTTGCTTCACATTTAAGAGTAAATATAGTGATCAAATTTCTTGAGGAAAATTGTCCCTTTCTTCTCAACCCAGGGAACAGTGAAAAGAGCGTGCAGACTTGAACAGCATTCTGTGCAGTTGTGCATCAAGTGACGCTTACGCCAAAACAAGAAATATTGGAACAAAGTGCGATAAAGTGCTCCGCTACAAGACCGACTTCTAGCTGTCCAGGAGGACTGCGAGGAGGCGGGAAGCTTGGGGCTCCATTGTCCCGACATGAAAAGTATACCCTCTTCACGGAGGCGCCCAGTCCAGTGTCCTTCAAAACCCCTTCTTTGAGAAATAAAGTTTCACCACCAGTACGTGCAAAGTACAAAAATAAATGGTATTGCAACATGCTATACCTTTACGTAGGAGACGGTAGGGTATTTAGACAAGTACTTTTTGCAGTAATCATCTCCGCTCAGCACTTCTCCAGGTAGCTTCTTTCCATTGTTGGGTAAGCGAACCATGGGGCTCCGCCTGACCGTGTCTTTAAGGCAAAATGCTGTGGGCGACCTGCACGCAATGACAAAAGCAGAGTCACTAAGCAGCCGTCATAATAAAGTATTTGTGAATGCACGCAACTGCCAAATAAGTAATATCTTTGACTCAGTACCGTCTCGTTGGTGATTACAGGTGATGTATCTTGTTATATACCATTAAAGAGGAAATTCACTCGTGATTGGAGGAAAGATTTTTTCCCACTGACTACCTCGAGTTATATTGTGTTCAATTGAACACCACTGCGTCTCTCAGTGGTCTCTAATCTAGTCTGGCTTGCGTGAGCTTATTCTGTTTTATTTTTCTCAATTTCACAATTTATTCACTCCACATAAATTCCTGCCGTCCTCGGCCACGCGCATAATTTATTGGTATTCATTCCGTTGCTCTTATCGATCACCAGTTACGTGTCCTTTTTATGACAGAGCCTGTCCAGGACTATCATTTACTATCACGATTTACCGGTATATCGACTATCGTATTTTGTTGATAAAACTACTTCACTGCATTCACGTCTCTTAAAATTAAGCCCATCACCTTTCATTCAAACTCACAAGGTGTGGTACTCGACTTCTCAAGTTTCGTTATTTAGCAAGCAAGCTTATCTGCGACCGAATATTCCACAGAGCGAGTGATTTTGTTGGTGAATTCATACGCGTGTGTCGCACTTAGTTTACAGCGGAGGCTCGAAGATGAAGTCGTGGAGTGCTGTTGAATTCAATACGCCATTGCTTTCTGTTTTGTAAGCTACCCGCAGAGACGTAGCGGTGCCCTCTCGAAGAGTGTTAACAAAATAACTATTTTGTTCGAGACAAATTTATGCAGCGCTTACTTCAGAAAAGTGGCGATGGCTGTCTTGCTGCAAGCGGAGAACTTGTGGACGTTCAACCCCGAGTCTGTCGGGTTCATCAGATAACCGTCGTTTGCTGGGCAATGACTTGAGGACCCTGTCCCGTCGTGGACGCAACCTAACCTGCAAAGTGATATTCCGTAACTTCGAAGTTCCTTTTGTTATCCAACAGAACTAAAGACGCATGAACAGTGTTTAACAGCTCGTAATTTGCCTTATATACGGTGATGTAATAAGGCAAATATTCATAAGGTGGCATCTTCTCTACACGCCTACGACAAAGCACTCTCAGAGCGAATTTATCTTGTGTGGTTGCTCTTGATTTTGCTGCGAAATAATAAATTTGGTAAACAGCGGCATCATATCAGTGACACTGAGTAAAATGATGCTCTATAAGAAGCCAACCATCAGCATCATGTGATATTACATGAAGATCGCCAAGCTTAATCAATACTATATATATCTTAGCCAATAAATTATCCAGACCTAAGCCAATAGTCAGGTGATATGTCACAGTTAGCATGGGCAAATAGAATTATCTGATTACTAATAAGTTATCTAGACCTGGCTAACGATAGGAGGATAAGCCGCACTTGCATTGGGAGAGAAAATTATATCTATCTATTATGATTCCGTCAAAAATAATGGAAGAAGCCCATTAAAACATGTTATACACACATTGGTGAGTGGTCTATAGAGAGAGGGGGGCAAGGGCATTATCAGCTTGTTAGTTCAGCTGTAATGTTTGTCAATAACAACCAAGACAGTCTATACACCACTGGCGAGGAATGGCGCCTCGTAGTATCAGGGATTTTACGTGCGAAAGCCATGTCACCGTGTTGAAGCGGGTCATAGTGGATATCTCTAAAAGTTTCGACCATCAAGTGTTCTCTAGCGTGGACGGACATCCCCCAGAACACGGGTCTCTAGAATTTTGCCTTTATTCGAAACTGAACCGCTACAGTCGAGTTTGAACCCTCAATATTTGGGTCAACAGTGCAGCAGCAAATATTCGCTCTTCCGTCGAAGCGAGCATGAGTTTGAACATACAATGCTGCTGTTCACAGTGAGCCACATATCATACATTGTATGGATGCCCGATGATGCACGAGTGTACTCACAGATGTCCCAGTTCGTGAGCGGCTGCATTGACCCCAGTAAATAGACTTGGGTAGTCCTCTGCGATGGCTCCTTTTTTCGACGTGCAGGCGTGGCCAACAAAAGCGACACCTGGGTGTAAAGATGACCGGTAACTATCATCTCCATGTGAATACCCAGGCAAACATGTACACTGGTGTGCGTATGCTATGGTTTGTCGCTCCGAAGAAACGCACGCAGTTGGCTAGTGTTAGTGACAACTCGATAAAACGTAGTATTGTCACGGGGTCGTGACGTAGACGAATGGAGAACACTGAGAGTCGAATAATAAACTGTTTGTTTGGGAGAACCTGTGCCCAGTAAACGGAAAGTTGCACTAAAGTAGCAGTGTGGGACTGATAGCGGCGAACGGAGAGTCGGCCGTCGATAAAATGGCAAGCGGCGAAGCGTGTCGGCAATTTACACTTGCTATCAAGCATTCTAGTGTTATCACTAGTGGCAACGTTGTTTCCACAATAATCTGAAAGATTAACGAAGCGGGCGTAATCTTAACAAAACGATCAGCCTCGAAGCTTCTCTAACAACGTAGGCGTGGTTTGCGCTGAAAATAGTGTAGACATGGCGATAACAAAACTTGTGAAAGGTACGTGGCAATATGTTGTATTTTTGTTTATCAAAATAAGCGCTATAATGAAAATCGTACTAGATGGGGTAAGTACAGGGAGGGGTCTGTTGGGGTCCAGAATACACAGGACATGTCCAGTAGCTGAAAGGTTCCGGCACCACCCTGGTCCCGTGTCCCGTAAAAAGACACGGCACTAGAGTGGTCCCGCTTTCCTTCTTCACGTCATAGCCTTGTCAAGCTAGCAATCATGTCTAACTGCAGCCCTTAGCGATGCGTGATGGTTGTTGTACCCCGGTACGCAATACTTTCACAGCAGCATTATGGTTACAGGAAAAAAATACCGGCAGTGAAGTCACAAGCCTATTTTAATTCCGTACACTTTCAACTAGGCTACTTTACTGTGGACAAATAATTATGACAATGCTTTCAACATCGAAGATATCCTCAGTGGACCCTTGGCCGTTTGTCGTTACAGACCTCGGGCAAAAGGATCGTGCTCATGCGGAGGAAGCGACGAATTAGTGGCCCCGTTCGGTGCGAGGAAGAAGAGGCGCTAACTTGCAGTGGTGAGGTAGCATTGTGTGCGAGACCAGACGAACAGTTATAGGGATGTGAGTGGGCGTTCATGGGCGCCAATGGTCTGTCCAAAGATTGGCAAGACTACTTGTTCGTCCGAAGAAGAAGCCATTAGTCACGAGTGGAAGTTGGTGCGGAAGCGCTACGTTGTTTCAACAAACTGCATGTAACTGGCCTTACACTTTCTCAATAAGTTTTTTTTTTTGAATACGAATGAAAAGCAATGTTTTATGGTGTGAAATGTAAAGTAGCCATGTTTAACTGTAGCTCTTCAGCGCATATCTACCCTTGTTATGAATAAACAGAATTGAATCTCACCTGCAGCGCCAGAAGTTTAGTCCTCCTGGAACCTAACTGCACCACGTCGCGCCTGAAAAAAAATGTAGTAAGATGGAATAAGTAAATATTCACCGTAATATGCATCGCGGTAAATATTCAGCGTAAATCGAAGTAAATATTCACCGTAATAACCATAACTGACAGACGGTGTCAGTTCTCTTTGTATTTACACCTCTTTCCTTAGCCCTAATACGCAGTAACTTCCACAGTGACCAAATTCCGCTACAAGCTGGTCACAGCGAGCTGCATTGGTGCACTCAAATGACTTCAGGACTTCGGTCACTGTGTGGGATTGATGTGTCGCTTACAAAATTACATGGTTTGTAGCCAAAAAACTTCAAGATAACGATTAAATGTGCGACAGGAGTAAAAAGAAAGGCTATTTCCACTTTGTGTATGCCTTAAAACTTCTCTTTCGAAGTATCACACTACAAATCACATCGTTCAGCAAGTAACAACTCCCATAACAAAACTATATTGCGCTTGAAAGTGCTTTATCATTGGAAACACTTTGCATCTGGTTGATTTACTTGTTGTAAGAGGGGCCCCATCTGAGAGTGGCTGATGTCCAAGAGTTGCTGCAGATTTGTCAAGTGCAAACAGACGATATCTATACTCAGAGGCAGTGGTAAGCAATTCCCCTTCAAAAAGGTTGCCAGAGCTGTTGATTAATAGAGAAACCTCGTTGTGGTAATAATTTACAAAGTGATGAACGATAAAAATTCGGCACTTTGTGAACAAAGTAGCTTTTATACATTCTAGTATGAGGAAGGTGTTTATGCTCAAATTGTTGCAATTTATTTTAATTCTTGTAATTTGGACCGCATCCTGAGAAACGGAAGTGCGAAGAACACTGTCACGACCAAAATTGTTGCGATATATGTGCGATAATGTGGAAGATGAGACACTTTTCACTAAAACAAAACTATAAAGGGGCGTAAAATTTATCCCAACATTTGCAATAAATATAAATGATACGCAAAAAAAGTTCACCTCTCGCGTTGAAGCATTCCAACGAGATGAACACTGCAACGTACGTGCGATATAAAAATGGCAATTTTGAAACGATATCAGCGGTGACTGTAGTAGGACAAAAACGTTGGCTGCTTACAGAAGCAGAATCACAATATTCAGTCAATGTAAGTACCTTCATATCACGTAAAATGTTTCAGTTGTTCATAGATATTATTATTATGTATAAGGCCACTTAGAACAAATCCTACAGCATGTTGCAGCATGCTACAACCAACGTATAGGTTAGCTACTATACGGCATTCAGCACCAACCAAGTCATTCTTGATATTTTTCTACGCGCTGACGTATTACAATAGCCGCCCAAATTCGAACATGAAAACAAACGGGATGTAATCATGGACGAAGTAATGATTGAGGAAGTAATATTGGCAAAAGATGTCTACTGGGAAATTGTCCGTAACAATTAATTGGCAGTTGTGCGGGTTACGCGGGATATCCCACAAGAGCCAAAATGATAGATTAAGCCTAATGTCACATATTGCGTAAATATTTCAAGTAGATCGATCATGCGAGTACTTATGATTGCAATTTACTTATGGTATACCAGCAGCAGATGTCAACCGTAAGATTAATAAAAAAAAAGAGCAACTGTAATTGGCATTTCTTAACTACCTCGGCAGATAATAGGGCGAGATTAATTATTATTGAAGCATCACATGCCGGAATTACCCATAACTTATTTAGTTGATGTCAGAAACCATTAACCTTTAATAAATTAGTTGAAATTAGCCGTGATGAGCATCGTTTAGCCAGCGCTGACAAAATCAGCCATCATCAGTTATCGCTAAGCTGACATTAGCCACCAATTAGGCAACGCTTCAGAAAACATATAGTGAAATAATACATTTAGAACGCCAGTTTCTGCTACTACACGATAAAATACGCCAGGCCGGGACTACGCTTCAGCGACAAATGTTGTGACGCACTTCTTGCCCATGCCAACTGCATGTTCGTTTGGTTTGACTGATCAACGTTCTGTTGATTTGACTGTCTGGCTTACTTTGTTTTTTGCTCCGATGAACATGTATCAACACATGCTTTTCTACGGAAAGCTAGCAAAATAATGCTTACCGATTCATTAAAAAAAAAAACATGGCTCATTGAGTCTACGGGCGGAACCAAGCGTTGGTGTAAGCTATTCTCACAGTTATTACTGAAAACTGTGGATGAAGGAGAAGGCTAGTTCAATGCGCATTTGATGTGATCATTAGTTCCGCGTGGCAAAGCGAGCCTAACTTTAAGACGTCTCTTCGCTGTAGCGACTTGTGCACCGAATTAACACTGCTCCGTATCTTCTTGAATCTCCCTGTCTAGCGTCGGTGCCAGTTGTCCAAAAACACTGGCGACATGAAAACGCTTATAAAAGAGACGTAATGGGCTAAATGGGCGTTGTACATGGTAGATCGGGACATTAGCATCCGTCATAAGTGAATGATCGAGTCATAATTACTAGATAAAAAAAGTAAACAACAATTATATCAGAGAAACCCAATAGATGGGGCTAATCGTGAGACTTGATGCGTCCTATTTCAACCACGTGTGCAACGTGGCCTCTGAAACCCGATTCGGGAGTGCGGGAAAGGCATTTAAAGCAAGAAATACACCAGAAAAAAAAACAATGCCGACGTGGAAATGTCCCTACCAGACACCAAGTAGATAGTTAGGATTAACGCCTTTTATTTTAATTAGTGCTATATTTTTCGCGAAAGTCTTTAACGTAAAATTGGAAAACTAACTCACGCAGTAACCAAGAAGACGACGTCTGCGATACGAATTGAGCGCCATCTCCATAGCCATCGCTCGAAGTTTAACAATGTTTCGTTGGAAACAAGGTTATCGGGACCACGGAGGCTGACGTATGGTCGTTCAGTTACCTGAAGAAGCAACAATGACAAAAAAGTAATCACACTTGCTTGCAAAAATAAATTTAAAAAACTCAAAGCAACATAAGCTTACGTTTGTGGACGTTTCGATGCCTATAAGAGATATAAAACCAGGAGGATTGAGCTGCTGAAACCGCAGACTGACCTGCGATAATCAAGACAACACGGAACGTTAAAAACGAGTGCGATTTTTCGACAATGCGAAACACGAAGTTTTACGGCAGCAAAAACAATAATAGATTTATAGATGCGAAGAGTCTTAGGGTCGAGTTCCATCCGGTGTGCGGCGTGACCACCCCTACTGCGCATGCGCGTCTGCTCCCCTTTCCCTCCTCCCCTACGCTCCCCCTCTCTCTCACCTCTCGACGCCGGAGCAAGTAGCGTCTGTCAGCCTGCTAGTATGCACTCACTCTCTCTCTAACACTTGGCATCCCTCCCGGCGGCATTTACAATTCCATTGTGCATGCGCGCCCCCTCCGTCACCCACGCTGCCCCCTCTCTCGCCTCGCAACAACGACGCAGGCGGCATCTGCTAGCGAGTTTCTTGATTAAAAAAAAAAGGAGAAAAAATAGCTGCGCGCACTGCACAAGAGTTCATTGGCCACCCCATATACATATAGACACTAGATCTTGACCTCGAAAGCAGTGCAAGTGGAAGATTTCCCCTGCGAGCTGTAGAATAGAAATTCGCGACGCACGCGTTAACTAAAAGCGGACCGAAGGTTTATGTGTCACAGACTTCTGTCTCTCATCCTTCATAAGCAGTGATCGGCATGTTCCAGTAGGCAATATTCCCGCGCACTGCCACCGCCAGTGTAAGCGTTATCAACCGCTGCTTCCCATCTACGAATGGTCTTTTTTAGCAGGAAATGGTGTAATCCTATTAATACCTTTTACTCTGCGTTTCAGGTCACAACCAAACGTGACTGTATACATTGCATTTCATCCACGCTGTAGACTGAATATTGATGAGATTGGTACCCGTTACTGGAGCCGTCTTTTACCTTCCATCCGAAGTATTAAATGTATTGGTTGTTTTTGTTGAATGAGTAAACGTACTCGAGACTGAGTTATTTCTTTACGACCACTGATATGCACTCAGGATAATCACGTTAAAGAGACAAGGCGTGCAGACGTGGACGCAAGAGAAAATTGAAGACATCACAAACTGTTGTCTTGACCTGCCTTCTGTGTGCGTGTTCGTGCGTCCTCTCTCTAGCATGATTATCTACAAGCTAGTTCAGATAGATTTCTGTTACACTCAATGTTTACTAGTTCGATTGAAATGTACATTATAGGTGTCGCCTTTCTTCGAGAAAAAGCTTGGTGGTTTGTGACGTCCTCTTAACTATTAACGTTGCTAAGTTCTACAAAAAAAAGAATTGTTTTAGAGCATAAATAATAAAAAACACTGCTTAAGACGATGGTATCTTTAAGAATATCATGTCTGATTTGATTCGACTTTTAAAGAAATCCGGAAGCGATCGTAATCTTCCATTTAGGTGTCTCCTGTGGCACTTGCACGCCGGTGTGTCCTTCCGCTAAGGAAATTTTACATGCCGTTGAAAAGAATCTTCGAGGCCACGCAGAAAGGAGAGCGCAGTTAAGATCTTTTCCACCAGGTGCTGCGACCATTGCAGCATCTCAAAATCTTTCAAACTTATTAAAGTAACTTTCACTGCTTACAGTGACACCTTAAATAAAAAGACATTGTAAAATGAATTTGTGTTATCTGAGAGTAATGTTGTATCAATTAGAGTTATGATCAACTATCACAGAAGCTCCGATATCACATTTTCATATATGGTGTAACGCTTGGCTTATGAGTATCAACTTCAGTAAAACTCAGTCTTCGTCTTTTACAAAGTGCCTATAACAGCTCCTCTTTCTGATTGTGTTACAAAAATGGTGTACGATTAAACCTAAGGGGTGTATATATATATATCGGAAACTACTTTTTACTCCAGCCTTCCATATAAAAAAGTTGCAATCATGAAATAAGAAAGCTCTATCATCTTTGACTTGCATGTCATGTGGCTTCCCCAGATACTGAACTAACGACCAATTAGACACTAATTCGGCCAATTCAGGTCCTTAGCGCGGGACCCTTTTCACATAAGTGATATTCACATGACTGTGTCTTCGCAGTCACAGTCCGCTTGTTTTAAATGCGGTAGATATCAGAGACATTCTTCGCCTTCCCGTAACCTTTCTAAACACCTTTGCCGACACGTAGACATAGCGAATGCTCGAAGTTTCTATATTTTCTATGGAAAACCGCAAGTAAGCACTTTACCAAACTGCTTAGAAAGTGTATCGCCTTTTTGTTTTATTTGCGAAGCTCCGTGCTACGAATTTCTTTCTACTTTGTTTTCTTGTTTCTATGAGTGCACAAGTGATGCACATTTTTCACACGACTTGCGTTCCGCTCTTTTTTGCATAATGAGTGGTATTTTTTCATTGCTTTCTGAGTATTGTTTTCTTAGTATTACTCTGTTAGTTAATAGTTCGTGGCTTATTTTTACTTTTCCTGAGTATTATATTCATATTATTGTGCTCTTAGTAGCTGGTGTTATTCTTAGTAATATTTTGCAATGTAGTTCAATTTATTTCACCATCTCGCAAGTATGTTACTGTTGCACTTTTCCGACTCGTGTATTGCATTCTTTTCCATTTCTTTTTGTGATGCTTTCCTCACTCAATGCACCCCGAGGAGCCTGTAAGGTACTTGTAAATAAAATAAATAAAAAAAAGCAGCTGCGTCAATCCGTACTAGCCTCGCAAAAACTTGCAGCTCTGAAAAGTGTGATTCGAAGTTTGAAAACATCGGCAAGTCATCTGCTTACCGCATTCCAGAAGACGATCATGTATTCGATGAGCTGCTTTTCATCCCCGCGAAAATGCGATGAGTGCTTAGAATCGCTGACGGAAAATATTTCGATAGTGAAGGATGATGGCAGGGCTCGCTCTTCTGTTGGTAAATAGAAACCCAGGTGAGAATTATGCTCTGAAGCACGACGTCTGTAGTACAAATTTAGGCGGGACATCATACTACATATGACCGCTGTAATGTAGTGTTGAAAGCAAATGATAAAATATTTGTGTCTGTTCCACCGGGAGGTTTGTGCTTACGTCACTAAATACTGCGACCAATGTGAGGTATACACCTTCGCTGTAAAAGTTCTATAAAGCATTACAGACAAGCCAGGCGTATGTATCACCAAGCGTGAATTTTAAATCATAATAAAGGTGGTAATGTTTTTTTTTTACTGCGACTACATAAGACATAAAAAGCATATTAAATAATGCATTAACAATGTGATAATCTCGCGGATCGCGAGATACTTGTTTCAATGAACGCTGAACAGTGTTGCGAATCTGTACGTACGTATTTAGTTTAATAAATACTTTTCGAACGCGTGCCTCAAGACTGCAGCCTTCGTGTTTAAAGTTGCAGCGGGCTTAAATTTCTTTAGTAACCATGCAATAGCCCAGCCATACTAGGTAGCACACCGAAATACAGGCGAACGCTCTTCATGTAGCAGGCTTATCACCAGTATTTTTTTTTTTCATTTTGGGGTAAGTCATTACAGCTTTGCAAAACTACAAGCAATAATGCAACGGAACCTGTCTATTTAATTGTTTCAAAGTATGTGCGTAAGTGTAGACTTCTGTGATTGGCAAAAAATAAGTTGGCGCAAGAATAGAAGGCTTTTCATGAAACTTTGTTTAGGATAACAATCTAATTGGCAGGACAAGTAAAAGAAATACGCTGATTATAGTTTCTATTATTTGCAGGTACACTTATGCGCCGACGATCAACTGCGAATGGTCTAGGATCCCAGAAATGAAACAGCGTCTGTGCACCTGCAATCAAGGTCAAGACAATCAGTGGTAATTTTACGCAAACCATTAAGACATCGAACAAAGTATTTCTGTTTTTAGAGTATAAAAGTGTATTGGATGATGGGGGGTGCCCGTAAGGTTTTACTGAAGAAAAGCGCAGACACGGGGAGGCGGGAAGACTCATCGACCGTGCAAATCCAGTTTGCCGCTCTACACTGCATATTGAGAACAGGGATCAACTGTTCATTTCTCTCTACCTCGCAAAGCGCTGTTTTCTGCAGACACTGTTGCACATTACTTCAGTTTTATACGCATGAATTACCAGACCTACTCTTCAGAATTCCGTGTCGAGTACAGTAATGATCGTCCCCCGAGTTACTCGTCAAAGCACGGTTATCAGCGAATTGCATGTTACTAGGATACTTCCCAATAAAAGAGTACTTACAAGAAAATTTTCACTTACTGTTTTTTGCGTCAAATTAAAGGGAAGCCCCCTGGAGCTCAAGAAATGTATCAGTAAGCGTGATTTTGTCTTGAAAAATCAACTGCAGCATGCTTTTAAAAAACTAATTTCAGTCCCTACCGTACCCTGAAGTAGTACTAGCCGCGCCACTAGGCGGTAGTATGTGTAAGCGCAACTTTTCGTCACGTATCCTTGTTCGTGCGTCACTTCTTCGAACGGCGCTTTTGCCCTCTAATAAGAATGTTCTTGTATTCGCGTGCAGGTACGCTATTCAAGGATGTAACACCGGATAAACCAAGCTTCTAGGACAGAAGAGTTTTTGCCGAGTTCGAATTACGATGGTAATGACGCGTAGTTAACCTGGAACGCGCGACAGCAGCGTTGACGAAAACGACCGCAAGAACGCCCATGACGTCAGAAATACACGCGGGGCATTTTCGGCGGTCATCAAAAAACCACCGCGTAGAAACACGTTAGAGCCGCCTACCAGTCAACTTTTCGAGCGACGTTAGCGTGATTGTCGCTCTATCTTTTTGCCAACTCAACACCGCGCCTCCCACAGGCGTCTTCGTAGACGCTTGTGTTCTTTCGGACAGGTTCTTTCTTTCCACCTGCCGCATGGTAATTACCCCTCTCAAAGGAAGCAAGAGTGCACACGCGGCTCTCTTGTGCAGCTAAGTTCACTTCAATCAAATAATGCAGATAAATATAAGGACTCGGGTGCTCACGTCATGGCGCCAACACAGGTGTGAGTTCGTGCCTATGAGTGCGGTGAAATGGAATTCAAGTCATTGTAGACACGTGATGCTATAGCTTTTATTTCTTCGTGCGTGCGTGAATATTTTGCGCGGTAAAGCTGTTACATGAATCGTGAGGCTCGCTGCATGATGTTGCGGCGTGAACACCGATTTGGTAGATGTGTGTGGTTTAACGTCCCAAAACCACCATACGATTATGAGAGACGCCGTAGTGAAGGGCTCCAGAAATTTCGACCACCTTGTCTTCCTTTCTATGTCCCTGTGTGCTTGCGTAAAAATTTCAAGATGGATATGTTCCAACTAGGCCGAATCACAGTTTTGCTTCATCTGGGCTAATTTAACGTGCACCCGAACCTGGGCACACGGGCCTACAGCCTACAGCATTTTCGCCTCCACCGAAATTGCAGCCGCCACAGCCGGGATTCAATCCCGCAGCAACGAGTAGTGTTCACGTCAAACAGTGTAGTCACCGAGGGCGTAGGGAATGGTAGATGCGCGGTTCGCTGCGTCGATTCACTTTCTCCATCTAAATTCGGCTCATTGTATCGCTCCGCGGTGATTACCATTGGCCGCTTTTCCAGAAATTTAGAGTGGGTATGGACTATTCGTATGAAAGTTTGAATGCGCCCATTTGGCTCAACCAGCTATCAGCAATGGTTAGAAAAGTTGTTTAAGTTCTAAATTACTGCCGCATTATTGTTGGTACGCATCTGAAGATGCCTTCTGCCACAGATAAGGCTAACATCACAAGTAGCACGTAGATACCCTCTTTCGTGTCTTTTAAAGAATATTGGACACATTTGTTGAAACACCCCGTATTTGTGCCGTCATACGCGCCAAATCGAGGCCACAAAACCTACTGTAATCGACAAGCGCCAGAGTTATGCGTCCTTTAGCAAAGCTGCCAGCTGCTTTTGTACTTCGTAGTACAAGCAACTCATTCAAGCGCGCACAATACACCACGAGGCGTACTCACCAGTTTGGGGAATGGCTTCTCCATCAGCTCTCTCTGAATAATCTTCTGCAAAACAGAAAAGCGACGTGTTCCTTTGAGCCACTTTTCAGTGATGAACGACATTTGTAGCATGTCTAAACTTTCGAAGCTTCACACTCATAATACCAGTCAGGCTCACTAGGTCTCAATCATCTACATTTTCTCGCCTTCAGTATTCACCTTAGAAGAGTGATAGTTAGAAAAATTGCAGAAGCGTAGACTAAATACAGACATGGCCCTGCCGTGCGAGTTTGCTACGCTTGGAAACTTACCAAGTGTGTCATCAACGCCATTGGCTTCATTACTGAACACAACTCTTGATATCCTGTGCGGTGTTGCACCCGATGCTGACCTCTCTTGGCTGATGAGCGGCTCTATTCGATGCGTGAAATTCAAAAGGCCGAACTACAGGAGGTAAAAAAAAAGCATGTATTAAAGGGTGCAAGAGGGATTTTAGTGTTGGATGAGACGAAGTAACACTTACTACGTGATAATGTCCATCTTTTAATGGTTTAAGTATAAGTGAGGCCTGTTTTCTAGCGTCCTGATGTAGGTGTTCTTCGTAGTCCGAACCAGGGACCTTAAATTGAACATTGTCGGTAAGTACACAACCCAAACATCTTAAGAGCAATGGGAATCAGGGTTATTTAAAATGTGGAAGCATACTAAGGGGGTTCGCGAACAGAGGCAACTTATATGCAATTCAAATTCTACAATGTAAACTATGACTTTACGATCTTTGATGACAATAGGATATGCGCCACGTGCGCAGGATGTGAGGAATAATTTTGACCAACTGGGACTTCACAACGTGTGTCTTAATCTGAGTGAAACAAGTGTCTGTGCATTCGTTCCGAGTCGAAATGTCACAAGCACGCAAAAAATAGCACAAATTAAACACACGCAAATGCTCCTTCTTCTTACAAGTTCGGCGCTAAAGAGGCAAGATTGTAAGTTGGTCAGTTGACTGAAGTCCAATTTGATGAGTGAGCTTCTCTCGTTCCTCATTTAGTACCGCACTTTTGATCAAAAAGAGAAAATGAGGCAAATTGGTGCCTCTGCCAATGCCCTGCTCCTGGTGCAAATATGAATTTCCCGTTCGCCCGGTCTACAACGCCATGTATAAGAACTAAACCGAGGAAGCAGTTGCCAGAGCATGAATCTGATATGGTACTATAAAACAAATAGAATCTCTCTACTCACATATTTTTTCGACGACACCTGAGTCCTGTGGCCGCCCGCAGAAGAAAAGTGTCAGCAAGAACAGAAGCTTTGAACAAGTTTAGAGTATATCCGTTATGTAGAAGAAGAACTCTCTGGCCATCTTCGTTCCTTTGTTCAAGCAGTTGAGGGTAAACTGTAGTGCTGCCTTCCACAAGTTCCTGGCTTTGAACCACTCCAAGAACACGACCGAAAAGCATAATTTTATGAAATATAAAACAAAATATGGCGTACGCACGTTTCACTTTTCTTTCGTGAATTTTGTTTAATTTGAGGCAAACTACAATTATGCCGTGTAAAATGCTTCCGCAGATTTTATCGTCTGTGCATGTTTTCAAGAGGTGCAGGAAATCTCTGGTTCGTGCCCCTATTGGGTAAGTCAATAGGTATATCTTGTGTCACCAATATCACGTATCCCGTGATGAGCCCATGAGTTAACTGAGGACGTATATGTTGTTAAGGCTCTTTTGAAGTTTTCCAGAGCGCCATCTAGCTGTTTTATCAGACTCTATGAAGTAATCGATTATCCAAGAGGCAAGCAACGCTATCTGCCAAGATTTTGCACAGTAAGCAAGTATACGTACAAGTATGCCTTTAGCAGGTATGCCTGTGTAAATTTTGTGGTCCAAATAAAAGTAATGACCCAAATACATAAAATTACTTGCCTCATGTCGAAAAGAATTGAGCCCGAAACCTCAAAGAGCCACTGCTTTCGAAAAGGTGCATTCATACAGCGACTAATGAACTAGTTTTACAGTATTGATATAGAGATCCATTATGCAATCTTTTGCACGAATAGCATTAACGAGCGTCCTGGCTGTGTGCTAAGAAATAAGTAAGACAAATAGTGACACGGTTATTTACTTGCAAGTATGTTGCACAAGAAAACTGTGACCCATGACAATTTGGTTGTCTCGTACATAGAAGAAGCAGGAATCATTGCGCTAATGCTGATAGGACACACTTGTGACTTGTCAAATATCCACGTAATGAACATTGCCCCAGACAGTGGTGGCACAGCTTTTATGATTTCGCTTCTTGACTTTTACTCTTCAACCTTTCCTGTTCATTGTTGTAATGTCTATTGTTAGAAAGCAAGAAACTAAGTGACTAATTGTGTGGTTGACAGTGACAAAGTCATTATAATGTCAGCGCCATTACTTTTGGCTAAATCAAGTACAGGATAATGTGCAATTGACGCAATTCAACACAATTATCGGTGGATTTAATTAAGTTTAATTGTCGCTTCAGGTCATACAGTCAGTCACATAATTCACGTAGCACAAGTTCAGCTACCCATTGCGTTTTTTTTTCAGGGAAAGGTCACCGGAATCTGCAGGCAGGCGAAGCGTGGTCCATCAGAGGAGGGTAAGCTTCATAACAAGGCGCCCCCCCCCCCCCCCATTGGTCGATTGCAAAAGAAAAACGTGCAATGAATGTAAAAATTTTAATGACGTGATTAGCTGCTTCACACAAGGCGAGCTATTGGTCCTAAGAAGGGAAGTAAACAGTTCTGCGAATACGACATTCAGAGCCCTTGGTCGCCGTTAGCGTAGCAAGCTAGGGCAGCCCTAACGGTGAGCATTAAAGAAACGCCAGGCCTGAGCCGAAGGCGCCACACAGTCACAGCGAAAGCTAGAAGAGCGGCCTTTCAGAGCCTTTTCTAAAGGCTCATTCGGTAACTGCTGCAAGCACACTTGCTTGATGCCGATACTCACTACAGTATTATTATTAAAAATTTCAAGGTAGTAGGCTTGCAATTGCTATGGTATTCTTCGTCATTCTTCTGAGAAGCGTGGCATCCGCAAAATGATTGCGAGGAATTTTGTGCCGGCTGACGACGATGAGTAATTATGCCTGAAGTAGGTGTGCGCCACAATTAATAGCTGGACAAAAACAAGCTTTTGTAATGGGTTCGAGCATTGCGTGGCCCACTCGTTATGCTTTTCGCACTGTGCGACGACTGGCTGTTCTTTCGCTGTTTTCGAGGCATCATGCCTGTCTAAGGCAAGTTTGCCAGCAAGTACGAAGCACTGTCGTCATGCGTTAAAGAAGAAAAAAAAACAGCATAGCTCTGTGGTAGAATACTGGGCTGGCGCCCAGTGGACCCGAGTTTGAGCCCCACTGTGTCGTTGGCACTAAGTTTTTTTTTTTTAAATATCGCGCGACGTGTTTACGGACACCGGAGGCGGCGGCGGACAACTACGGCGCAGCGCGAGACCCGACTGGTGATCTCATGAAAGCTTTCGCCGTAAAATGACTTGGAAAGTCGAACTGAACAATGGTACGCCCAGGCCAGAATTGGTGGATTCTTTTGAATGTTTGAAGGAGACGGTTGTTTACCACAGAGGGTCGTTAAAGCACACTGACGAAACGAGAGATTATAAAATTAGGCGAATACATTTGTGAAATATTAAAACTGCTGAGGTTTTTCTTCTACTGCCCCAAACCCCAATTCGATTGATAATCAACGACGCCGTGGTGGAAGACTTTCATATTTTCCACCACTCGAGGCAGCTAAATCTTTGTCCACAAGCCTCTAGAATGCTGTTTCAGTAGAAATGCGGCTGCTTCAGCCAGGAGTCGATCCTGCGACCTTCAGGACCACATCCTCAGGACCGCAGCTAAATGCGGCGAGTTATGATGCAATGCACGATTATAAAATTTAGGTAAGCGTGCTTACGAGTGGGTAAAATGAACCCAATGCGCAAATACTTATTGCAGTATGTGTTGCTACTCGCAGACGTACACCTTGCTTGGGAATAAGCAGGCACTGCCAATTCGCACAAGCACGCAAACCTAGCTGCCTGGCGAAAGTGAAAGGTAAACACAGCCTAGGCCACACTGTTGTGCGAGGTACCCCCCATTTGCCGGATGTCGATATTATTTATACATGGTCCATGCTGCTCGACCTCGCCTGCATCGACCACACTCAACCGAAGGCGGAGAGTGTAGGTGGCACGCGGCACATTGGAATTCACAAGGCACGCCACATGAGACACGAAACGAGATATTGTGCTGGTCACAACATCAGGCATCTACCGGTCTCCAGAACGTGGCACGGGAATCGTGGTGTTAGGATATGATCTGGTAAGCCGCTACTCTGTTTAGGTTCGCATCATGAAGGAATTCATAATACGTGGTGACCTCGCAGTCTTTCGTTTCACCTGCAGTCTTCCAGGCGAGGTTTCGTCCTGACCTATTAGAAGGGAACACCTCTCTTTTCCAGCTGCTGCTGCTGACTAGGTAGATTTTTTTGCGCCGATAGCTAGGCACGTGTTTCGAATGTCGAATACTGCTGACGTATACTGATATTGTGCGCAATGTAAAGGCACTTTTGAATAGACTAGTCATATTAACAAAGCAGCTCGGGTGGGGGTGCAGCTAGAATTTCTTTCAGGGGAGGGAGAAGTGGTTGTATTGAAGAAACATCTACTGTTGGCATGTTCATGCACGCATTTGTGTGTGCGTGTGCGCACGCGCGCGCGCGCGTGTGTGTGTGTGTGTGTGTGTGTGTGTGTGTGTGTGTCTGTGCGTCTGTGTGTCTGTGCGTCTGTGTGTCTGTGCGTCTGTGTGTGCGTGCGTGTGCGTGTGTGTGTGTGTGTGTGTGTGTGTGTGTGTGTGTCGGCGAACTTCAAAAAGTTTCAGAAAATGTTTTGAAATTCTCCCCCTCTCCACCTTGCTAGGTCCTAGTATATGTTTGTATCTCCACAATTGAATCTCACTATGTACTTTTTGTTAAAATCAAGTCGCCAATATATACTCAACAAAGGAAAAACTCAGCTACGTTTTGAGGGCTCTTTCTGGGGCAAACATACCATTTCATTGAATTACATACTTTTTACCTCGACAATAAATTGCACGACAATGAACGGTTGGCCTTATCAGATTCCGCAGGTTTTTGTTTTTAAAAGTTAGCCTTCTTTCAAAGTGCCAATCTCTAGTCACATCTGCAGGTTATTTGTGCCTTGCCCTAACGCATCTAGTGTTTTCGTATGATCTCGTACGGAGATGCTGAGATTTTCATCGAGCCACTGTAAACCTGCGTACTTCTCTCTTCCACATCCTTTCGTTTATAGAATACAAAGTTCTTCCCTCTTGGAGAATAGCTGCTGGGCACTCTGGTGTGCTGGATATAACGACCTAATACGTTTTCAGCCACCTGAAGAATCTGCGGCACCCGTCGCTCTGAGTGATCATGATTAGTGCCATGGCTGCCCGTGTGAGACCATACGCCAAGCTGGGCCGGGCAGCCGGCGTGTTCTTCATCAGAAACCTGCACTGCGCTAACACGAGAGGACGTGGCGGTGACCTGGAAGTCCTGGTACACTCTATACTCACTCGGCTGCCTCGTGACTTTTACGCTGGGCCAGCTCTACTTCGTCGCCAGCAACACGTTCCGGCTACTCGCCAGCGTCCGCTCATTCACCAAGTCGCTGGTCCTAGTCTTACCGACGGTCGTGGCCTTCAAGGTGACGGTGAACGTCGCAAGCTCCGTGTTCGGATCATGGACCATGCTGGAGTTCTTCAAGAAGTCAGCCGAACACGAGATGACGGCGGCGTTCGACTGGAAGAAGTACCGGTACAGGTGTCGTCTTAGCTATGCCTTGAGGTGAGTTCGTGTTGTCTCTTGGTGGTCTGGGTAAAGGACGCAGTCACAGCCGGTAAAGAATAAATTTTCAATTGGGCTAACCTGCTCTCAGAAAGAGGATGAACCATCGACATAAGTGCACGGTCGTCGGAAAATCTACAAATCTGTGAAATACGCTGGCTTTTATCAAACCTTCCAGCGTTATTGCTGGTGCTCATATTAGCTTAGAAATTATTGTGCACATTGGGAACGCAATTATGTCGGGGCATTTAAAAACAGTTTGGAACACTTTCAGACAATCTGGCGCAACTTGTGCGACCAGATGGCCACACTTGTAACGAGCAGGTGACATGAAATAATAAAAAAAATCTCCCAGGGTCCCTCACACATTCCTTAAAAACGACTCGAAAGTAAAAGCCGCCTTATTTTTCTTCTCAGTCGATGTGTTTTACCTGCCCCAGCACTGTTCAAAATCCGTCTTCGTCTAATGTAGCTCTACGCTGCCTCAATGACCGGAAGCGCATCTCTTGGTTTTACATGGCTGCCGTGATCTAACCCCTTTGCGCTAAGCTATTTTGTCATGTGATGACGTCATCCTGACGTCGTATGTCAATGTAAACACGTGATGATCATTTGCATCACTCGTCTTGGATGCCGTGGGTTGTTGACGCGGCACAAAGACGCTCAAGGTAAAATTTTGCGTTTAAGGTAAGATAAGAAGCACGCGCGGACTTGTCTGGCTACAGTGTATAGCTGTCATGGTTGTAGCGCGTTCTCAAGAAGGTGGAGGATAAAATACGAGTGTCCACAGTTATATATGGCTCAGTATAAAAGCGCTAGGACAATTTGAATCTATCTGTTTGAGGCAGGTGATCCAAGTGTGAAAAAAAAGCAGAATAGGAATACGACTGAGTCCTTTCTGAGGTAAGCGACGACCACCAGTTGAAATTAAATGAAGATATAACTCATTTGTAGTTATATCGCACTTTCAAGAACACAAATGAAATACTGCAAATAAAGTCCCGTTGCCCTTCATCCATTCCGCTTCATTAGTAATTCAGTGTAGCGCAAACAACAGA